AACTTTTGCCATCTGAGAATGTCGGGAATGTCAGGAATTTTCTCGTATGCTTCCTTTTCCATTTGAGTCCTCCAGGTCCTCTGTGGTTCTCTATTGGCTTCTGTCCTTGGCTCCCCCTCGGCTGCCTTCTCTGGGAGGGCGAGGATTTCTGCTGGGCCCTGGCGCCTGCAGCTGTCCACTCCCAGCTGGGTGTGGCTCACCAGGGACAGAGTGGCCCCCACAAACCTCGCTTCAGAGCCGTTCTGTAGAGCTCAGAGCAACGGGCTTCTTTGGAAACCTCATGTATTTTCCGCCCCTGCACTCCTGGATGGCAGAGCTGTGCTGCTGTGTACCAGTGATGAAAACCAGGACAGAGCCTGGCCAGGCCTTAGAACACGGAGCTGTTCTCTTTGTACCAAGCCCCAGGGAGAGATCTGACCACACACAATAGGTTCCTGGATGTTAATAAATACTACTTGAAAAAAGGTTTAAAAGTTGATGAAAATCCTGAGTTAAAACCAAAATAAATAGATTTCTTTGCTACAGAAAATGTCAGAGCTTTTAATGTACTAATAATACCTTGTAAACCTCTAGAGCAGTATTAATATATGTAATGTTCCTCAAATTTATTTTGCCAGGAAACATTTTTCTTCAAAAAACCCTTCAAAAGTGTAGTGTTCTGCAGGAATCCTTGAGAAAATAGCAAAGTATCCCGACTTGTTTTATGTGCCATTTCATATTTTCCACAAATGTTCAGTGGCTGCCCCATACTCCATGACGTGATTAAACCAAAATGTGTGTCTCCTCTCCTGGATGGCTAGACAGTGAGATGGCTTCAGAGTTTTCAGCATCACCGACGTTCTGCCCTGAATTCTGGCGACTCCATGACCATCTCTGACCATTCCCTAGGGAGGTGAGATTGTTCGCTCGAGTGTGAGTGTCTCCGGGCTCTAGCAATGTGTCCCATGGCTTTCCACACAGCCCTCTCTGTCTTCTGCTGCTTGCTGGAGGTGGGGGCTGGGGCAGAGTCCACTGTCCTTTGGACCTTGGAGTTCCCCTCGGGTCTGTGTGTTGCAGGCTGGGTCCTCGGGGAGGCGCACCCTCAGAGGGCGCTGTGGGACCCGTGCCCTCCACTTCCTTTCTCTGCACTCTGGCCTGTGATGAGGTGAACAGTTTTGCTCTGTTGCACGTTGCCACCGAGACGTGCTGAGCAACAGGCCCAGCTGATCATGCGCTGAAACCCCCAGACTGTGTGCCAAAAGAAGCCTGTACTTTTTCCAAGTTGATCATCTCTGGTGTTTTATTATAATAACACAAAGCGGACTAACACAGCTTCCATCTGTGAAAGCTGAGAAATTCAAGAGGCTCGGAGTGCTGCAAGCCATTTCCATCTGCTTACCATGTGGACATCGGCAATTAAAACAGTCACATGCACCGTGGCTGTGATCATCCATTTCTCTGGTAGTGACGGATTGGCTTTTCACAATTTCCCGTGCTGCCTCTAACCCAGTCAGTGACACCAGAGAGTTGTCTGACTCATGGAATCTGGAGTCTAGATGCTTTGACAGGGAGCTGGGAAAGAAAGGGTTTTGAATTAGCATCTGTAGGGCTAAATTCCAAACAACCTTTCAAGGTGAGATTTGAAATAAAGTGCTGTCAACCTCTGGTGTTTGTGAACTTTGTTTCTAGAGGAATTTATTTTCTGTGGGCCTCTTGTCCATCTTACTTCTGACCCACGGAAATGGGGTCCTGTCCTGTGGAGTGTGGAGGCTGAGGCTGGTATATTTGTTCCATTTCTCTGTGGGGAAAGATAGACATTGCAAGCTCAAGGTGATTTATCTTTTTGTCCTCCACAAATATTATCCTTTGGTCGATGCATTATTGGGTTTTGGAAGTGAGATGTGAACTTTTAACTCATTAAAACCCCCAAGACTCCAGCAATAAAGTCCTTTAAGTGGCTTCACGAACAGATTTATTTCAGAGTGATTCCGTTTGGAGGAAGGAAGGCAGAGGCATGCATCGTACACCAAGTTCTTGTCAATAATTCATGAGACCGGCACATGCTGGCTGCTTCAGAGTGATCTGTCTCTGCCCATGCCCGGTTTGCTATTCTTGTGCTTGACTTCTGACAGCTAGTTTGTGATGACTCTCCTTCTTCGAGGCAGACTATTTTGAAAATTAAAAATGGGTGGTTGGGGATTTAGAGCCCAAGGCCCTGAATTCAGTCCCCTCCCTGGTACCAAAAACAGCAGCAACAAAAATGTAAAACAGTTGTTTTGTACAGCTGGGCTGAAAGGACACTTTATTTGCATTCTTTGTCCTTAGTAAAGCAGGAATGCTGCCAAGGTGCATTGCTCTTTCCTCCCTTTGGGCAGAAATTCCAGAGGTTTTTGTGTGAGGGGTGGATTGCTGAAGGGTGAGCTAGACATGCAGTTACCTGGACAGGCAACCTGATTGGCTTGGGGTCCACCCAGCGTCTTAGGACAACACATGTCTGGGTGTGTCCGGTGGGTCATGGGGTGTGGCTGTGGAGTCCATGTCTGGTCCTTGGCCCCTTCCTCTCTGGTGCTGTTCTCCTGTTCTGCTTTCTGGCTGCCACGGACTAAGCAGCTTTGTTCTGCCATGCCCTTCTGCCATGATGTTCCTGGCTTGGAGCCGGCTAACCATGGACTGGATCCCTTGAAACCATGAGTCAAGTTAAACCCCTCTTTTAAGTTGTGGGTGCCAGGTATTGTGTCTCAGCAAGAGGAGTGCTCACTAATACACATGGATTTATAGAAGCATAATGCTATGACAAGCACATGGTGTTGGGCAGTTGGTGCATGGGGAAGACATGCAGGGCAGGTGTGGGCCATCCCTCCCCTGAGCTCTGCACTGCTGAGCTGTGAACGCCCTGGCTCATCCTGAGCTTCACCCAGCCCCTTCCCTTTTCTGAAAGCCTCGGAGGCTCCAGGGTGGTTTCTCTTCTGGGCAGAGACTTTGTAGAGTGACTTGGAAGGGGATGGGTGACCTGCCTCCTCTTCACTCCACTTGAGTGCCACAGCGTGGCTGTGTACTGAAGGGAAATGGGCATCCCTACCGGGAAGGCCTTATTCCGTGAGAAGTGTGTGGGGAGAGCATGAATCGTGGGTTTACTTTTTGGGCCAAAAGCTCCAGGATCCATCCGTCCTTTCTTCTCTGCTTCCCCGCACCCCAGGAAGGATGGATGCTCCTTTATTTTAACTTAAAACCCATTTTTACTTAATATTACTGTATAGAGATTCACGCTCTAGAGTCTTACAAGGAAAAATGTAAGAATACTAGAAATCCCATGAACATTTTGAGGAATATCATGTTTTTGGTATGTAGAGACAAGCTTTCACATACATTTTACCCTAAATTATATTATATGTGCTGCTTTGAGGGTATTTTCTCATTTAACAGTCTATCAGAGATGCCTTTCCCTATAAATAAAAACCTGTACCATCATTTTAATGGTTGTAGAATATTCTATATATGTCTTCACTAGCTCCAGCTGCTATAACAAAGTATTATAGACTGAGTGGCCTAAAGAACAAACATTTATTTCTCACAGTTCTGAAGCCTTGGGAATCCAAGGTCAAAGGGGGAAAGAGTTGATGACTGGTGAGGGCCTCTCCCTGGTTGTTAGACAGCTACCTTCCTTTATTGTATCTTCATCAAGCCGGGTTGTGTGTGTGTGTGTGTGTGTGTGTGTGTGTGTGTGTGTGTGTGTGAGAGTAGGGGGAGAGGGAGGGGTTGGTCCCTTCTCTAGGAGTGCTCCTCATGACTTTAGCTGAGCCTGATTCCCTCCCAGAGGCTGTTCCTCGTGACTTTAGCTGAGCCTGATTCCCTCCCAGAGGCTGCTCCTCGTGACTTTAGCTGAGCCTGATTCCCTCCTAGAGGCTCCACCTCCAGAAGCCGTCACACAGGGAGCTAAGGCTTCAGCCTGGTTTTGGGGACATGAACATTCCATCCTCAACACCGCACAGGACCCAGTCAGGGCCCTCGGAGGAGTGGATTCGTAGGTGGTTTTCAAAGATTTGCTCTCATGTATACCACAGGGCTGTGTGTTTCTCCGTATGGCGGTCATGCCAGTGTAGGTAAGTGGGTTGCCGAGTCTGTCTCTCTATCTACATCCAACAGTTACCCACAACAGTGCTAAAAGAAGTGCTAGGGAGCATTCCTGTGCGGGGTGAGGATGTGACCCCCAAATCCACACCACACTGGGCCTGCAGGTCTTCCAACACCTAATAAATTGATAAGTGCCTTATCGTTGTCCCTATTTTCAATCTTTTGTACTAATTGAAAATGTTTTAAAATGTGTTTTGGCTCCTCCTCTGTGGATTTCTACATCTATCTATGTTCATCTCTCTATTGACCTTGTTTTCCCCATTGGCTTGCAAAACCCTTCCAAGAAATACTTGAATTAAACAAAAGGCAAATCAAGACTGGTTCCTTCTCTGAAATGCATGTAACGTGTTCTGAGAATGATTATTCTATTTGGGCCTGGAGGAGTCTAGTAACCAGTGACACTCGCTTTGTCAGCCCTTTGGAATGGAGCGCACTGATGTCTCACCACTGGCGACCTTAGGTACAGGAGCCAGCTCTGCACTGGGTCCCTGGGTGGGCAACATCCAGACCCCAGTGTGGCCTTGTGATCCTTGCCAGTGTTCCGGTTCCCTCCCTCGGGCACAGTCTTTTCCTTACTGCTGCATATTTTAATGAGATTGCACTGGGGCAATCATGAATCAGAATTGATGAGCAGAACAGTGGAAAACTCACAGGATGGCAACCTTTCGTATAAAATTTGAGTTTCGGCTTTTGCCTAGTAGATTTCATGTTCTGTAAACCCCAAGTGTGCATGTGCGTGGGTGTGTGCACATAGGGGAGAGCAATTTGTTATTTACTGAAAGCCCAGAAGGGATCCTAAGAGGAACTTATGGGTCTTATTGGGATAATGCAGACCCCAGAGCTTAAAGGCTGCCATTCACTCTTGCCTGAGCTGTTCGTTGTTTTAACAGTTTCACTCGCTGGCTCCGATGTACTATCGAGGATCTGCAGCAGCCGTCATCGTCTACGACATCACCAAGCAGGTAAGACGTCGCCTGGAGTGCTGACGCCGTCTGGCCACACAGAGCTGACGTGTGAGTCTCACCGGGACCCGCGGTGAGACCTCCCAGGACGAGATGGCACAGCGAGCACTACCTTGGTGCTTTTCACCCATAGGCAGCGGAGCTCCTCACGTTTACCTGCTGAATTAAACAGTGCACTTTCTCTGTTAACGCTGACTGCGTTCCAGGACGAGGCTGTGCCAGCTCGCGCTGTGTTTTTAAGTTCTGCTCAGGATTTTTTTCCTTCTTGGTTTAAAAATTATTATTGACACATAACAATCGTGCAGACTGGCGGGGTTCATGGTGGTGTTTCTGTGCATGCATGCACCGCCCGTCCTTCTGCTTTTGCACCTCCTCTTCCCCACCCCCTAGCACCCTGCCTGGTCCCCAAAAGCCCCTCTTACTCCTTCTGTCCCCCTTCTCCTTGCCCTTCCCCACCTCTAGCAATCACTGTTTCATCGCTCCCTTGTACACACTGTATAGCCAGAGGGTACTTATTTTCTGTCGGCGTTGCAGCTGCCCTATGAAAACACCAAGTGTTTATGTGTGTGAGGCGGCTATGCTGTATCTGCATGCAGCATTGCCAGTTTCCTGGGGCCAGTGGCCAGCTGAAAATGTTAAATGGAAAAATTCCAAAAAACAGTTCATGAGTTAAAATAACTTTCACCACAGTATATTGTTATACAGTAAGTATTCTATTGTATTATCATTGTTAACCCCTGACTGTACCTAATTTATAAATTAAACTGTATCATAGGTGAGTATGCATGGGGAAAAGACATCGTATTACAGGGTTTGGATTACGCATAGATCAGGCAACTGCTGTATTGTAGTTTGTCATGTCAAGGCTAAGAGTATTCATCAATAAATAACTGCAGTTGTTCAATGGGATTTTTTTCACACTCCCACAAAGTGAGTTATTTACTGCTTCTCTGGAGTGCTGAGTAGTGCTTGTGACCGTCAGCTTTGTGACATGACGCCAGGACCACCCTGTCCTGACCCTTCTGGTGAATGTGGCTTCCAAGTTGTCCTGTCTCGGGGGGACCCTTGTGTGGGAAAGGTCAGCAGGAAAACAGCACTCTTCACCGATGCATGTGTGTCCCCTGGAGTAAGCGTGGACACTTAGTCCTGCTGTCTTCATTCATGTGGAGTCGGGACCATAGATGAAAATCATTCTTATCTATGATCTTCCTAACTTCATCAAGTTTCGGTTTTGGAGAGAAGAACCTTTTACAGCCCAGTGAGGAATGACTTAGCTAATATTGAGTATGGGAGTCTTCTGAAAGTATTTTTGTCCGTTAAATTATATTGGGTTTGTATTTCTCCCTGGTTGGAATATCATAGTGGCAGTCTTTTCAGTGATTCATATTTATGTTTTCCATTTAGGATTCGTTTCATACCTTGAAGAAGTGGGTCAAAGAATTGAAAGAACATGGCCCAGAGAACATTGTGATGGCCATTGCTGGGAACAAGTGCGACCTCTCTGACATTAGGTAAGGGGCATTTAACCCCATGTGTCTGTGCGTACAGAGGTGTCCTTCATCTCTGAGCATCTGTGGGTAATGAGGCACTGTTACGCCTTTGCTGCTGTTTGTGTGCTTAGTGTAAGGATGTGACCAGTGGCCAGCAACTGGTAATCAGTGTGGTACTAATCCCCCAGAGAGAACGAAGGACTGGTGCAAATCTTTGGGCCCACAGTGATGAATATTGCATTAAAATCTCCTGTACACAGCACAAGTACATCCCTGCCTCTAGATATCTTGGGATCATGTTGTTTTGTTAGTTTTATTTCTATGTTTTCTGTCACTATCATTGTTGCTAATATAATTTTTATAACACTTTCATATAGTTAAGGATCATAGAATTCTTAATATTTTCCATAGCATTCCTGTTTGTTTTAGTTCTAGATTTCAGCCTAAAGATATATTCTAATCTATATCATATCACTACTTTGTTCTAAGATCCAAATATGCCGTTTTATAGGGACATTCTTAAGTGACAGTATGTTGACGATAATGGATTCCTTTACCTGTTGTCTTAGTCAGTTTTCTGTTAGATATCAGGATATCAGGATATCTGAGGCTGGTGTCATATAAAGATAAGAGGTCTACTTTGTTCACACTTCTGGAGGTTTAAGAATGTGACACCGGTGTCCCAGCTTCAGCATAACATGGTAGAGAATCAAAAAGAGAACCACTTTGAGCCAGAGGGGTCTCTTGGTGACACAGGAAGCCAAAGAGATGCGGGGCTAGTTTGTTCTGTTTATAACAACCCACTCTTGCAGGGATGAGCTAGGGTCCCTGGAGAACCACAAATTCCTGTCTTCAGGACAGTCCACAGTGACCTATCCACGCTCCATCAGGCTCACCTGTTAATGATTCCACACCTCAGCATCAATCCCTGGCATCCAAGCTCTCAGGACCTATAACTTTGGGGGATGCCTCAAAAGGCATCTGGACCACAGCACCCAGCAAGAGGCTGGTGAGGACCGGGTACACACTAGGGATCTGCTGAGACCTTTATCTGGCCACATAAGCAAGCGGGCTGTTTCACTAAATGAGCATTACTTTTGCAGGGCTGCACGATAGTCTCCTGTATCTGTGGGGGTTGCCTGGAACCACAGATGGTACTAAACCCCTACACAGTATGCTTTCTCCCTACAATAATGTTTAATATATGCATTCGGCCTAGTAAAAGATCATTGATAGGAACTGACAACAAAATAGAACATCCGTGACAATCTACTGTAATAAAAGTTGTTTAAAACATGAATTGTTTATTTCTGGAAGTTTCCATTTCATATTTTTGAACCCAGATGACCACAGTAACTGAAACCATGGGAAGTGAAACTGCCAAGGAAGGGCTCTGCCGTCATGGACTCGTGTTCTCTCTGGGCTGACTTACATCTCAGAAATGCTAGCTGTTGATGTTCATAAAGACGACTGCATCCTGCTTCTGGTTCTGCCCATCTAAATATGGTTAAACCAAAGTCAAATAAGCAATGAAGACAGATCCTGTGAAAGTTCTTAACATGGAATTTAACAAATTGCTCTGTTTCTTTGGGATTTCACCAGCTTTAGATCATATTGCATCAGGCTGGTTTGTAATAACAGCCATAAACAGCACTTAATCGCTTGTTTTTCTGGGGGTTGGACAAATCTTTAAAATCCCCAGACTTAGTTCAGATACCTGCTGTGTCCACTGTAATCCGGAAGCAGCTCGCCCGGCTCGCGTTCCCTGCCTGATTGCATTGAGCCTCCCACAGGCCCCCCGTGGGTGGAGTCGGCTGTGAGAGAGTGTGGTATCAGTGCCACCGCCTGGGGGCAGAGGGCCGACTTCGAGTGAAGCCAAGCCGTAGTGTGGGGCTGCTAAGGACTGGATGTCGAGCAGAAACCCGTGTCAGGCTGAAGGATGTTGGTTAGGATTCCTGGTTGCATCCTGGGTCCGTCTCACCCAGTGGTCAGCTCAGTGCTTGACTGCTCCGTCCTCTGTGGGAGAGAATTCAAGCTATCTAGCCTCGGCCTCCAGCGCTGACATCAGGGCCTCTGTCCCCAGTGCACAGGCTGTCTGGGCAGAATCCTCTTCTGCTAGTTTGGCCTGAATGTGGCTTTCCGGGATCCTGCGGTTTAAAGTGCCGAGTGCATGTCTTGCCTTGTGCTTGAGTGATTTCGGATGGTTGAATTATGCAGCAAGGAAATGACTGTGCACCTCCCCACACCCGATCGGGTCGACAGAAAGGCTAGTTTGGTTTTAGTACGTTTAAATTTTTAAACATTTAATATATTTTATTAAAATAATTAACAAGTCTTAAAAACTCTTTTTGAAGTGTGCAGTACAGTTAGAGTGGTGCCGTCATCGTCACACCTGGCGTTCAGACATTTCCATCACCCTACAGAGAGCACCACGCCTGTGTGTGGTGACTCCCAGTCTCCACCTTCCGCCAGCCCTTGGGAACTGCTGGCCTGTGATGTTGTCTCCATAAATTTGTCCTTCTGTGTTTTGTGCATTTGGGATCATATAGTATGTGGTCTGAAGTTCATGCATGTTATAGCGTGTATCAGTATGTCATTCATTTTTATGTTCCAATAAGAAACTTGTGTGGACATTGACATTGTACTTATTGTACACATTGTGCACACATTGTACTTATCAGTTGCCATATGAGTTGTTTGTACTTTTTGGCCACTATGAAAAATGCAGATATGAACAAACATGTACAAATTTTGTGTGGCTAAGCATATATTTCTCTTACATATGTTCCCAGGAGCAGAACTTCTGAGTCACATGTAGTTCTGTGGTTAGCATTCAAAGGAACTGTTTTCCAAGTATTTGACACCCTACTGGCAGTGCATGAGGTTATAATTTGTCCATATCCTCCTCAATACTTGTCATTATCTATCTTTTTTATTATAGCTACCCTGTGTGTGTGTGTGTATGCGTGTGTGTGCATGCGTGTGTGTTTTGGTGCACATTGAACCCAGGGCCTTGCACATGTTAGGCAAGTACTGTACACTGCCTTGTACCCCTGGCCCTCTTGTTTTGATTTGTATTTTCCTAATGACTTAACGAAGTCAAATGATTTGCATATCTTCTTTGGAGAAGTATCTCTTCAAATCCTTTGCCAGTTTTAACTGGATTCTCTGCCTTTTCATTACTGTCCTATAAGAGTTCTTTATATGATCTGAGTACAAGTACCTTCTGAATGCATAATTGCAAATATTCTCCCCTTCTGTGGGGGATCTCTGCACAGTCTTCACCGTGTCTCCAGAGGTGCAGGCACTTAATGCCCAGTTTGTCTTTTTTCCTCTTTTATCTCTTATACCCAAGTGATTGGCTGATTAAAACTACAAAGATCTGCTCTTATGTTTTCTTCAGTTTTAGTGCATATGTTTGGGCCTGTCCTACATTTTATATTAATTTTGTATATAATGTGAGAAGGGCTCCACATTCTTCTTTTTCTATTGGATATGTAACTCTCCTAATGTAATTTGTTGAGAAGATGATTTCTTTCTCATGTATTTTCTTGAGCAGGGCAAGCCCTCTTCCCCTGAGCACACCCCAGACCCCCAACCCACTCTTCTTCCATTTCTTTGGTTGTATTTATTCCTGTTTAATGTTATTCTTTATGGTATCATGAATGAAATTGTTTTCTTATTTCCACTTAGGTCAGGCTCGTTGCTAGAGTGTAGAAATATGATTAAATTTTGAATGTTTCTCTAGTGAGTTAACGCACTTATTAGTTCTATTAGTGATTCATTCTACTAGTGTTTTAATCAATTCTTTGGGAGTCTTCTATATGCAAGCTTACGTTACCCACAAGGGAAGAGTGTACTTCTTTCTTTCCAACATGAGTACCTTTTATTTATTTATTCTTCTTGTCCAATTGGTGTGGCTGGAACTCCAGTCCAGTGTGGGGTAAGCTGAGGGTGGGTTTTCTTTCTTCTCCTGACCGGTTGGGTGGAGCATGGAGTCTGTCTTCACCAAATGTGATGTTAGCTGTAGGTTTTATGTCAAAAGTGCCCATATTTCTTTGAGATCTTTTTTAACATGACAATTTACAGGTATACATTTTCTTCTAACCTCTACTTTAGCAGCATCCCATGACTTTTTTAAAGTCCTGTTTTTAATCATCTCAAAGTATTTTCTAATCTATTTTCAGATCCATTGTTTAGTTAGTACTGCATTGTTTAATTTCCACACAATTATTGTTTTCAAATTTCCCAAATTTCTGACTGTCATTGATTTCTAATTCAAACATACTTTGTATGACTTTATGTTAAAATTGTGAGCTTTGTTTTATGACTTAGCACATGTCTCTCCTGGAGAATATACCATGTGAGATCTGTGCCAATAAGTTTTGTTTTGTTTGTTTGTTTGTTTTTGTTTTGTTTTTAGATAGGGTCTTTCTATGTAATTCAGGCTGGCCTGAAACTCACTAAGTAGCCCAGGCTGGCCTCAAACTTATGGCGAGCTTCCTGTCTCAAAAAAGGCCTTTTGGGGGAAGGGTAGTACTGGGGATTGAACCAAGGGCCTCTGTAATAAGCTGCCTCCCTAGCCCTTTTTAAATTTTGAGGCAGGATCTCCTAAGCTTCCCGTGCTGGACTTGAACTTGTCATCCTCCTCCCTTGGCTTTCCCGAGTGAGTGCTGGGATTACAGGCATGCACCATCACACCTGGCTCAAACGAATAAACAAAAGTAAAACAAAACTCTTAATCCAATAATAAGTGGGTTCAACAAAGTTGTAGACTACAAACAACATGAAAAAATCAGTTACATTATTATACACTAAAATATATGCAAAAATTGAAATTAAACATGCAGTACACTTTAGATTCGAATAAACAAAAGTAAAACAAAACTCTTAATCCAATAATAAGTGGGTTCAACAAAGTTGTAGAGTACAAACAACATGAAAAAATCAGTTACATTTATTATACACTAAAATATATGCAAAAATTGAAATTAAACATGCAGTACACTTTAGATGTGCTCTGGAGAAAATGAGATTCTTAAGTATGTATTTAACAAAGCACGTATAGGGCTTGGGGGTTGAAACACCCAAAATGTTTATGAAAGAAATCAAGCAAGACTTGCATAAATATTCAGAACATATGGGGCTTATAAATTGACGGTCTCAGCATGTGCAGCAGATGCACAGATCAGGGGGTCGGAACAGAGCAGCCGGAAGCTGGTCTGAGACGGAGAGGAGGAAGCAGCTTGAGGGAGGGGATGGTTTCTCAGCGGACGGTGGGGGATTGCACACCCGCAGGCACAGCGAACCACACCAGCCTTCTGTAAACATTAGTCCAAAGACAGTCCCAGATCTGAATGCGAAGGATAAAGCTAAAACTGTTAGAAAAACTCCTAAGGAAAATCTTTAAGGTGTGAAGCTAGGTAGAGTTCTTGGGCTTGACACTAAAAAACATGATCTGTACAGGGAAAATTTGATCAGTTGGGCTTCCTCAAAATTAAAAATATTTGCTCTGTAACTGTCTGTGCGAAGAGGATGAAGTACAAACTGCAGGCTGGGAGAAAATACTTCTTTTTCGGGGGTACCAGGGATTGAACTTGGGACTTTGCACTTGCAAGTGAGGTGGTGGAACCACTGAGCTAAATCCTCAGCCCCAGAAAATGCATATAAAGTACATATCTATAAAGAACTGGCAGCACATGGACTATAAAAAAAACCTTAAAATGTTAAAGAAGTAAAAAAGAAAATCCCTAATTTGAAAATGGGCGAAAGACGCAAACAGACATTCATCCAGAAGAATAAATATGCAGATGGGAGAAAGGACAAGGGAAAATGTCTAATACCATGGTCAGACATTCTGAATGGCTAAAATAAAAAGCAGCGACAATACCCAGGTTTGATCATGGTCAGATAGGGTCATTTCCACCTCACTGGCATAAGAGGGGATGCTGCTCATGTGCACGGCACTCTGGAAAGCTGGATGGCATCCTTATAAAATTAAGGGTGCAGTGATGTGTGTCCTAGCAGCCACACCTAGGCATTTGTCCCAGAGAAAGGAAAACTGCATGTGAATATTTATAGACCCTTGGTTTATAGCCCTAACTGGACTCAGCCCAGATATCCTTCAGCAAGCAAATGGTTATACAAACTACTGCACCCCCATACTGTGGACTCCTACTCGGTGTAAAAGAAAGTGGGGGGTGGAGCAAACCACAGATGCGTGCAACATGAGCATTCGGGGGAATCATCTACATGAATGCAACCTTTAGTCACCTTTCTGCTGCTATAACAAACACCTGACCAATCAGTTTACAGAGACAGAAGTTTTATTTTGGCGCACTGTTTCAGAGGGAGAGATCTGTTAGCCTCATTGCTCTGGACCTGTAACATCAGTCACATCATGGTGGGGAGACTTGGCAGAGATTTAACACACAGGCTTTGGGGACGTTCTTGATCCGGTCTGTAGCAGAAGCCAATCCCAAAGGCTCATGGTGTGTGACTCCCTGTACCGAATGTGGTTGAAATGCAGACATATTAGAAGCTGAGTAAACTAATGAGCGTTGCCGGGGGCTGTCAGTGAGTGATTACCAGGGTGAGGGGGTGGGGAGGATGTTGCTGTGGTTATAAAAGGGCCCCACAGGGGTCCTTGTGATGGTGGAACTGCTCAGTGTTGTGTCTGGTGGTGAACACACAAACCTATACTAGGGATACGGTTGTCTTTTTTTTTTACAAAACTATTTATTATTCCTTCCTCCTCACAAAGTGGATGACTGTATTCCAGGAATGAAGCTAGATTAAATACACAGAAAGAAAAGTCACCACTTACACTGAAACATAACAGTATTGAATTCAGGTATTTTTGTAGATTACCAGCATAGTAAAATTATTTCCATCTGGGTCTTTTAAGTTGGAAGGTGATCACATTAAAGATTGGAGTTTACAGGGGGTCACAGTATGAACCCGAATTCCATTTTCTTTCTAAGACTCCAGGGAAAAGGTTTTTGGAGTGAGTTTCCTTTGGGAAAGACTGGAGGGAAGTAGGGAAAACCCCGCTTTCCCAAAGGAAACTCATCCCAAACACCTGCCCAGTGTAGACGTGTCTCCCATGAGACGAGAATCATCTGGTGGCGGACAGGGGTGAGCCAGTGGGTGCCTACCTGCTTGTCACCTCTCCCCTCCATGGCAGGAGAATCAGGCTGCCCACCAGCCAGTCTGTCCGCTCCAGATTCTGCCCACTGGCATGAATTTTCTGGGGACTGCCATGTCACTAAACCCAGGGGGCTGCATACAAATCTGTCATCAGCATCGTCGCCACCTGGACTGAGTGTTTCCTGTGTGCCACACTCAGTTATAAGTGGTTGATGTTCACCTTCACCATCCCAGGCAAGAGCCACTGTATGGTCACATGTAATTCCTAAAGAGCCTGGACACAAAGCAGTCAAGGGACTTGTCCCTTATTCTGTCACTGAGAGGATCAAGGGCCAGTTTGAAATCCTGCTAGTCTGTTCCAGAGCTTGTGACTCTGACCTCCACACTCTTCTGAATCTCATAAGAAGTAAAGCACAAACAGGATGCAGGAACTTGGAGCTCACAGTTCTTCCCAGGGTTTCTCTCTGGCTCCATGAGGAAGAACCTACATTTCTGTATGGAGAAGGGGTCTTAAGAGGCCACATCCCCCAAGAGAATCCATGTCTTCTGCTCAGTCCTTCTTGGATTCCAAGTTCTGGTCTTTTCCTTGGGTACCAGCCCACTGAGGTCTGTGGCTGAGAACCTGAGACTGCAGCCTGAATATGACACCAGGAGTTTGGCTCTGGTGAACAGCAGCTGGGGATGCATGTTATTAAGCAGGAGAGGCCCTCTGGGAACAGGAGTCCTTCCCAGGGTGCCCATGTCAGGTGCTTTGATCAGTGGGCTTAGATCATGGTAGTCAGGCATTATCCAAGGAGGCATTCATCGTGCAGGTGGTAATTATTCCTTGTCTGTAAAGAGAAGTTCATTTTAGTTTTAATTTCATCTCACGGGTAGGTTGATCTGAGCATCTTATAAGAGCGAGCATTTTAAACAGAGATTTCCTAATTCTGGTAATGCTAGCATGATTTCCTCACCCGAATGTCACAGAGACATGTTGGATATTTAAAAACATTATGGGCTTATCAGAGCACAACATACCCTGCTCTAGGGACCAGGAGACTGAGAAGCGGCTTTGGAGTTGTCTTAGTTACTTGCTACTAGGACACAGTACCCGACACCCACAAGTTAAAGAAGAGGTTTATTTTGGCTCACGATTTATAGAGGTTTAGACTGTGGTTGGCTGGCTCCAAGACAAGGTAGCATGGCAGAGGAGAAACAGTCCATGGCAGGGCAGACAGGAAGCAGTGTTTGGGATCAAGGGAGTAGAAGAAATACATATACATATTTCCTCAGGCCTTGCCTGGCGACCCACCTCCTCCCAGCAGGCTTCACCTCCCACCATCACACCTAGCTGTAGGCCCATCAGTAGAAGAACCCATTATCACACACCCATGATCCAGTCACCTTCCCCAGAACACCACCTAGGAGTACTTCAGGCTTTGGGGAGAGTATCTAGATATAATCCATAATAAGGGCGCAGTCATACCTGCAGCACCTGCAGCCTGCCTGCCTCGCTTGGCTCTGATGGGACGTTGTGAGTGGTTTCCATCACCGTGGGCCGGAATGTCTAAACTAGCGGGAGGGTTTTAACAGCAGCTAGTTTTCCCAGGAGTTGATCAGCCATTTCCTGTCCACAGTTGCCCTGTTACTCACCATCTTTTCAACTTGACCCTGGAAGGAGGTACTGGCTGGAGGAAAGGAAGTGAAACTACAGAGCAATCAGCTCTAGGATGAGGGTGAAGGAGTGTGGGGCGAAGTCCGTTTCCAGGCAGCTGTGATGACTGCTTGGTGCGTCCTCTGTGAGAACTTGAGTACTTGTGTGTTTATTCATTGACTGGGAGTCTCTAGCTTCTGTTTACCTGTTTCACAGCCTCTCCAGTGCCCAGCGTGTCACAGACACTCAGTATCAGTCGACAGAAAGACCAGTAGTCAGTGAAGAAAAGATATTCGCACGTGTGCTGTGTGTTTGGTCTCGGGTTTATTTGCATCTCACGAGCAGGCCCTCATTTCTCTCTTTCCAGGGAGGTTCCCCTGAAGGATGCGAAGGACTACGCTGAATCCATAGGCGCCGTCGTGGTAGAGACAAGTGCCAAGAATGCTGTTAACATCGAGGAGCTCTTCCAGGGGATCAGTGAGTACCCCGGACTGGGTTTGCAGCCTCGCTTGCGTTCTTGTTTGTACAGGGGCCGAAGGGTGAAGCAGTGGAGCTCTGAGGTAGAACTTTCCCTCTGTTGAGTTTCTCCGCTGCCCTGGGTATAAAACCTATAGCTGTGCCTGTAATGCTCACTGCCATTGTACCTCTCAGGTCTAAGTTGCCATTGTCCCGTGCTTTAACCCGCCTCTTCTGTCCTTTGTGAGTTACAATGAAACAATGAAATAATAATAATAATTGAAAAGGATGCCTTTTTTCCTATAGTATTTGCTGTTAGCATGCTGAGGGGAGTAGTGCAGTAGTTCACAGTCACTCATCAGACTGCATAACTAGGAAGCCTCACAGCAAATGTCTTTTGCCCGGTGATTGTCCAGTAGAGATAATGTCTCTGTCCCGTGTGACTCGAGGTTGGGAATGGGGTGGAAGGCTGGCCTGTGAAGGTTTTCCTCGTTTCCGTGAGCCAGTCCACGGGCGATGAAGCTCCCTTCGTCCAACTCTGGGTCACAGTATGCTTCCCTTCCCGTGAGTGACCCGAGGGAGCCGTTTCCCGATGGAGGTCCTCCCTGACACGTCGGCACAGTGGTGAGCGCCCAAGCTCGCCAGGCCACCGTCACGAACCCTCTCACTGTGACTTGCCCCGGAGAGGCTCCTGCCTGCCGAAGGTGTGCAGGGAAACTGAGCCCTGAGCCTCGTTCTCGGGAAGTGTGATCAGACTGTGGGTGGGAGGTTGGGATCACAGGTGTTTCCCAACACGGGACAAGTAGCTGTGAACAGTGAGCAGCTGTCCTCAGACACCCTGGCACTGGACGGCTCCAGAAAGGATCCTGCCACTTGCTGTCCTCCTCCCGGGATCATCGTGGGCAATGCTCCGAGTCAGAGCAGCCCGCCCCTCCCAGAACAGAATTCATTTCCATTTGACGGTTTTGGGTCTGTTTGCTTAGACTCGGGAACCCACCGCGAGGAGTCTTCTGTGTGTTCACATTGGCTTGAAGGGGCATTCGCTGGAGGGAGCATTCTGATTTGTGTAACTTCCGCTGTGCATAAGTATGCAAAAGTAATGTGTGAAGCTGTGCTACTGAGCCTCCCCACAGCCCCTGACCCTCTGTCCCGGGGTCCTCGCTGCCTTCCCTTCCCTCTGCCAGAAGGATGTCATTCCCTGCTGTCAGCAGTGTATCCCACAGCCCCTTGCCTGGCATGTCGGCCTCTAGTTTCTCAGGCTGCAGTGCTGTGTTGCCGCCGTCTCCGGCCCCTCTTGGGGGCAGGGGGTCAGCATGGCTCTGTCCTGTGTCTCTGGAGGACATTGCAGAGTGTGGTAGGATCTCATTACCGGAGACCGTACGTCCCCAGAGCACAGGGATTCTTCTGTGGTGGTGCTGGGCTCCTCTGGTGTGTTCTGCTGCTAAGCCTTCTGTTTTTGGAGGGCAGTTAATGAACAGCCTGCATGTGTCACACAAACACCTCTCATTTCACAGCTTCTGTTGTTCTGCGGAGCTGAGGATGCTCAGAGCTTTGCATGTCCTAAAGTCACCTTGAAATTTCCGCATGAGCTCACACTTTCTGAGGCTGATGGAAGCCATTATTGAAATAAAAAAAGAAAAGGACCCTAGGGAGATTGACAAGCCTAAGCGCAAGTGTAAATGTCTTGAAAGATTTCTTTGTATGGTTTAGCCAGTGTAGATCCTTCCTGTGTAGGAGGTCTTTCTGGCCACAGCGATAGGGATTTGGAATAATTAACTGCCTGGATCCTAGTGATCTGTTTCATTTATGAAAATAAAACAAGTGTTTGGCATGAAGCACAGAGTAATTGTGGATGCAAAGTAATTAATTCCTTTGAAGTCACAGAATACTGGTATCACCTCATCTTCCATGGCAAATACACAGTTGTTTGCTTCTGTTATTATACTATGTTTACAATCACTTTAAAAGGAGAGCTTGCAGAGTCAGAGCCATGGTGGAAGTGTGCATCCATCTCTCTGTAGCTCTGTCTCCGTGGGTGTCCGTCTCTCTGTGTACCCGCGCGGTGGTCTGGGTACCCGTCCGTCTCTCTGTATCATCTCTCTGTGTATCTGTCTCCCTCTGTATCTCCGTCCCTCCCTGTGTACCCATTGAGGTCTCTGCCTCTGTCTCTCTGTGTCCATCTCTGCGAGTGTCCATCTACCTCTCCCCAGCCTTCACCTACCTGCCTATACTTGTGAGTGCTGGTGCCTTGCCTTTGCCTCTGCTCCCTCAGGTGAATTTCTTCACAGTGGGGTTCGGTGGCCTAATTCCAGGTAAATTTAAAACATGGTTCCCAGTGTACCAAATAGACTGCAGCAGACTGCTCATTTATTTGCCTTGTCCCTGTTCCGACTTGGATTACGTGCGCTCCTCCCCTTCTTAAAATAGAGCTGGGCATCGCTGACACCTGCATTCTCCAGAGCAGTGTTCCAGGAACAGGCATGTCCAGGAGAAAATGAGATATCCAGAACCAGTAGTTTCCCAGTGGAAAAGCCTGGACAGGGGCAGGACTGGCCAGCCTGGGCCTCTGCTCGGGTCCTGGAGGAGATGAGAACAAGGCTTCCTCTTACAGAAAGTGAGCTCGGAGGCACTTGAGGGCATCGGACTTGGTTTTCGGTTTGTTTCTTGTTAGTTGGAAAATAGGGATGGAATGTTCATTTGTTTGTTTGTTTGTAATGAATACAATTAGCGTCCTAAGCATATTAGCTTGGAAAACCTTGAATGGGGTGTTCTTATAAAAAATAAACCAAGACTCGGGCGTGTGGTGTCTTGTTCTGTAATGATTTGTTGGCTATTTTAAGTCCACAGGATTTTTGTAATTCCCTAGGTAGTTACTTGGCTTTGGAGCATGTTAAAGAAAGTCAAAAGCCAAACAAATCCTTGGCAAATTTTTAAAATGGTACAGCCAGCTGTCAAATGAGGGTCAGTTTAGCAGGAAAGGGATAGGGAAAGAAAAGAGACTGTTCACTTCCTTGCCACCCAGGGGCATCCATGAGCTGAGTCAAGACAGGAAAGGAGCGGAGGCCTGCACTCCAAACAGGTCTGGCCTTTGTCTCAGCAATTCTGGTTTCGCTTTTGGTTTGTTTTATGGTTTCTTTGAGACAGGGTCTCACTATGTAGTCCAGGCTGGCCCGGAACTCATAGCTGTCCTCTTGCCTCAGCCCCTGCCTGCTGGGATTTCAGGCATGCACCAGCATGCCTGGCTTATCTCAGTTCTTCTCAGGTTGAAAGACACCATACAGTTGTCCCTTCATATCCGAGGGGCACGGGTTGCAGGGTAACAAAATCAGAGGCCGCTCAAGGTCCTTGCAGAAAATACTGTCGTATCTGCATAGAACCCACATACATCTTGTGGCCTCTAAGAATCATCTCTAGGCAATACGTCCAGACACGAAGCCAGTGGTGTCTGAGTGGTTGCTGGAAGGCATGGCTGAGGCCTGATGATGGGAAGTCTGTACTGGTAGAAAGCTGAGGCCCTTGCTGGAGTCCTGGCCACATTTCTGATCTGCAGAGACAGCTGCCCGCCCCGGGGACAGAGCCCTAGGAGCGGGTGGATGCAGGGTGCTGTCAGGCAGTGTTTCACATGCGCAGAGCTCTCCTGTTCGTTGTTATGGTTGTTGCCATATGTGTTACTCAGCAGGGTGCCACTTACCCTGGGAAATAGGCACTGCTACCACCCCTCTTCACAGCGGGGAAACTGAGGCTCGAGAGGCTCGGCCCCTGCTCTGGGCTGCAGCCCGAGAAGGCGGTGCCAGGCTCTGGCACCCACGCCGCTGCTTTCGTCCCTGTCACATGGCACTGCGTTCAGCACTCTGGGGTAACCTTCACCACAGAGGAGGACGGGAAGTGATGGAACCTTCCGAAAGTTTTTAAAAAATCAGAGTACATGGGTATGAACAAGGGATGAGAAATAACGATGGAAACCTCTGCTTAGTGACCTGAAAGACAAATCATTGCATCTGAAACAAAAGTTAGAGAGCAGTTTATGTGATGTCCTGACTTCGCCTGTTATGAACCGTGTAATACAGAGCGTCATTTGTGTAGTCTTCCAAGACGCTAGCTTCCTTGGAAGGGTGCATATTCAAATGTTAGCAGTGGTTGTTTTGTGATACTGAATTCCATGGAACTCTGAACAAGGAATTCTCTCTGGAAAGTGTTGAGCCTACTGGACACAGGTACGTGAAGAACAGGGAATCGATGGCTTTCTCCCAGGGAGGAGGTAGCACCCTGTTAGCAGCAAGATGCCACTTGAACAAATGTTTAAAGAGAGCTGGTAGTCATTAGGGATTTTCTCTCCTGCTTGTCACTTGAGGCTGACAAAGTAGAAGAGGCATTTTGTTTACAGTCTTTAAATTGTGACTCATAAAACCCAGCATGTCCAGAAGAAGGAAAGGCGTCATCGTACTGTGCCTTCATTCCTGGGTGAGCACAAAACTGTTCCCAGAGTGGCCTGCAGAGCCAGGTGGAGAGGTGTTGTCTGTTAGGAGACAGCAGAAGAGACAGCAGCGGAAATTCTTACAGAAATCTTGTCTGCTCTGTGCGTGCATGATCAGACATCTCCACTCTTCTCTGACTTTAGTGTCAATGGTCTTGAGCTTCCACGTGCATCTGTAACACCCGGTCTACCCAGGGCTTGAACACCCTTGAGCTCAACTCTTGGTGTTTCCTGGACAGAAACACCTTTGGGGGCTTTTTGGATCACAAGATGGTCCTTGAGTAACATCATTTTTCATTAGAAGACTCACTGTTTGGAACCAATTTCCTTTCCATATGTATGACTTGGTTACTTAGTAAACTAATATGCTGCCTAACCAGTCCTTCCAAACCCTCATTTTAGAGCCAGTGTTTAAATGCCTTTTCCAGGGTGATAGAAAAACCCACAAGAGCCTGAGTGTGACACAGCGGAGAATGCAGGCTTCGGGGTCCATCAGAAGGTCGTAATCAGGGACCTGCCCATCCCAGTTGTTAGTGACACAACTGGGAAGTGCCCTGCATTCTCTGAGTTACAGCAGAACGGGACTAATGGCCAGTGCACCGGTTTCACAGGGTCAGGTGGGGACAGCCTCTGAAAACCTTGGAAGACTGAGGTTGTATAAGGTGGTTATTGCCAGTGGCTTTAAAAATAAATAACTCACTGAGACGAAATTCACCCATCTCAAGTGCACAATTCAGTGGTCTTTGGTTCATTCATAGATATGTGTGACCAGTAGCACAGCCAGGGGGAAAGCATTCTCGTGATCTCCAAAAGCAGTCCATACCCTTTAGCTACCACTTCCCACCCCCTTACCTCACTTTTCCATCTTTGTGTTTGTTTATACATGGTAATTTTTAAATTAAATTAAGTAAAAGTAAGATCACTTGGCCATGACAGTAAAATCCTGCTCCTACAAAGTGTCTCCGTGGGGCTTTCTAGTCAGTGAGCCGTGTGCGTCGGCAGGAGGAGGGATGGTGAGTTGGGTGCTAAGCGATGATCTTACTGCCGTTTCAGTCCGTTTCTATTTCGGAAGCAGAAACGACTGGTGCTGCGGTCGGTTGTAAACGCAGGGTGGATGCTGGGGAGCTGGCCGGGAGGGGTGAGCTGAGGGGCGTGGCGGGTAGGCGGGGCATCGGTGTGGGCCGGAAGCAGCTGGTGCTTCTCCTGGCTTTCCGGATGTGGATTTGACTTCTTGTGGCAGAGCTAGGAGAAAAGGAGGGAGCGGGGAGGAAGGGAGCGAGGAGAAAAGAAAGGCGAAAGAAGGAAGGAAGAAGGGGCCACTCTGGGACACCCCAGTTTTCAGTGGCACGCACACATCAGGTGGCTGAGTATGGTGTGGACAGAAGGCCTCAGCCTCACCCTTCCTGTTGCAGGTCACCAGATCCCACCCTTGGACCCCCACGAGAAGGGCAACAACGGAGTGATCTGCGTTCACGGCGGGAAGCCACCCTCTCAGGCCCGGCGGTGCTGCTGACGGGCACCCAGGCGCTGCCGCCGCAGGAGCCAGACCCCACACTCTGGAGGAGGCACAGGCTGCGCACCCAAGGCTGCAGGAAGTGGGTAGCAAGTGTCCCTGAGAGGAAGCTGAGAAAACTGGGAAAACCACACAGCCGCTGTGTGGCCTTCGGTGCGCCAAAGGGGTTGGGCTTACTGGGTAACGGTGCAGTCACCTTTTCTGCTGAAAGCATTGCAACATTGTTGGGTTTGTCCACGAGTCTTAAGTACTTTTCTCCTCTGAGTCCTGTGTCACCTGGCCAGACTCCAGGCTGTGCCTGCCTTACCCGATCGGCCTTCACCGAAAGGCGGATTTGACATGGAAGGATAGAGTTTCGCTGGTTTGGGAAATAAGCTTTTATTTATTACTGTCTGAGAGAGGTCAGAGAAGTGTAACTGGATCACCATTCAAGCTGAGGCTTGTACGGCTATGGAAGAGGAGGAAAAAATGTCTGAAAAACTACCATTTGCATTCCTTGGAACTTAATTGTTGACCTTTTTTCTAAGTTTTGGTCAGATATAAACAAACAGATCCGGGCAGACTACAATACAGCACATGACCTTGGGATCAGGACCACCAGTTAAATAGTCACTATCTAGGGAGGGTAGCAGGAAGGTATAAACTCTTGGAGACCACACAGTACACCTCACCCACATGGTAGGAAATTCCTCCTGTCTTAGAGATGGTCAATGCATGCAGTGTTATGTTACTAAGAATGTGCCGTGGTGTCATATCTAGGGGAAAAAAATTAGCCAGAAAATGCTTTGAGTCTAAATTCTAATTATAATAATAACTAATCATAGGTTATAGCAAAGCCAGCCCGAGGAAGTATTACCACCTTAAAATTCAACGCCTAGAAAAACTATGAAGTTGGGGAAGCATTTTCAGTGTTGTCAGGCTTGCGGACAGTCATAGGCCCAAACAGAGGGCCCCCTATGGGACCTGCCAGAGGCCTGATGGTAGGCTCTGAGGAGGACGTTCAAATTCCCTATCTGCCCAGCCAGCTATGTCTGAATCCCAAGGAAAGAAAAGAAAGAAAGTGAAGAAAGCAAGAAAGGTTATTTCCACCAAAATTGCAAATCCCATTACCAGCCTGGCTTTCATAAGAATTTGGAATCAAGAAGGATCCAGGCTTTGGCTGGGATGGACAGCCTCGTAGGCAGGGCATGGCACTGTGTGCCTGCAAGCGACAGCTGTGGCGTTTTTCGCCATGAACGTTGTGGGGCCAGTGAGCCCTGGAGAGCCCACCGCGTGAAGGAAAGAGGCCATGGGCTGGTTCTGTGACTCAGTATGAACTGGTGCCGTAGGGACTGATGCCACCGAGCTCTCATGGGCAAGAGACAGAGTCATGGCATCCACCAGAAGGAAGCGGGCTGGAGCCAAGTTTTCACCTTCTCTACATTGGAAAATGGGGCCAGGGTCTCATCACATATTTATGTTTTCAACTCAAGGATGTGCTGCCAATTTGAGTTCTTCCTGCTTTGCCCAACTTTGGAGAGGTGATTGACAGCCTTAGAATATGCAGGCCAGAAAGCACTTATTTTAGTTTCAAGAGTGTCCCTTGTCTCTCCCAGACAGGCACCCCAGAACCAGCTAGCGCGTGGCACCCGGATGTCTTGGCAGGGCCTCTGCAGGGATTGTCAGAGTTCTTTCCCGCATTGCCAACATTCCTGCCTGGCATGCTTCTGTTGCAGGTCAAGAAATGATCATACCTCTTGCCAGCGGGGAGAAAATCGAACTGAGCATTGAAGCAATCTCCTTCCAGGTGACATACAGGCCTGTTTCAGCCTTTCCTCATGCAGCTTTCCATGAGCATCTGGGTTTCTCCAACAAGCAGTACAAGTTTCTGAGCTAAGATAGCTCACATCCCAGCAGAGAGTGTGGTAGCTTTTGACTGTTTGGGAGTGGTTGTATTTTGCATAAAATGTCCAGTCTTAACCACATATGGGGAATCTGCCCGCTAGTGAGCCCCTGGTTTATTTCAGAATCATATAAAGGGGTGAACTGCTGCCTTACCATTCTGTATTGCCATAGCTATGGAAGCCAGTCAGAAGACCAAATATATAACTTCCACTCAGAACAGCTGGTAAAGAGAGCAGGTGCATGTGGACACACAAGTTTTCACGCAGTCGTTGCATCTCCTCCAGAGACAGCCTGGGCCTTGTATGTGGTGAAGCCCTCCTTACCTTTCCTTATTTTGGCTTGGAATTACTTTCTGGCTATTCCAGTCATTGATCCACAACCACAAAACAGGGTATAATGCCTGGAAATAACCATTGCTCCAGAGTTTTAAGTATTTTCATGTGATGTGGCACCCTTGGCATGATTTTCCAAGACTTGCTCCTTCTCCCCTTTTCTGTCAGGTGCAGATGTGTGTGTGCGTGTGTAAATATGATTCTCTACTGGTTATGCTGATGTGTAATCCATTCAGACTGGCTGGGTTTTGCTCGTGGACAAGTTCTGTAGGAAAAGCATGGGTTCTCAGAGGAACTGCTTCCCAGTGGAATTTCCTAGAACTGGGGGTGGGTCGTGTAAACATTTTACATAGGTACACTATTGACTTGCTGTTTCATGGCTTGAAATGGCACATTAGGGTGCTGACTACGACGTTGCCTTGTAGACTAACAGGTTGAAGATGTAGAACTAAGTTCTATCCTATAATGTGGGCTGTGCCCCTGTGGAAATTAGTGCCTTTAGTGAGAGAGGTTGGGATGACAAGATACAGCCTCTAAGGTTGAGGACAATGGCATGTGGTGGCTGAGAAGACTGCCTGTGTGTGGGCTTGCCCCTCATTGCTTTGGCACACCTGGCAAGTGTGTGATGAGCAAGCTCTTCCACTTAAGGGCTCAGGGCTGCACTCAAACCTCACAGGTGTCTGGATCACCCTTCACTGTCATCCAGTGTGCAGACTGTGTGCAGATTGCCACCTTTCCTGGTGTTCTGTAAAGTGCTTCTGTCTGGGCTGGACCCAGTTCTTGTATCTAGAAGATGCCACTACAGACACCCAGGACTTTTGTACCTTGTATTCTATTCTATAGTAGAACATTTCCCTCAGCAGTGACCGTTCATATCTATTGTCTTTGTTTTAACACACACTGATTCATACTAATAAATATTTTAAGTTTTAACAAGTTGTCCTTTTCTTTTTATAATTTTAAGAATTTTTTTAGAACTTGCAGTCATTTTGGAGTAAAGAGCGATAAATCTCCAGAGAAACATATACCCAAACAAAGATGTGTAAGACACTCACTGATGTACTGCTCAAAATAGCAAAATATTGTTGCCCAGTAAGGAAATAAAATGCATGCATCTTCCGAAATACATCAACATGCACCTTAGAAACACAACATGGAATTGAAAGTTGCTGTCCTGCTCCCGTGGGAGCCATACTAATGGTGGTCTGTGTAGCTGTATTAACCAGCTTTCCAGATTCTGGTACAAAACACCCCATACCTGCGGCTTAAAGGAGGAAAGGTTTATTTGGCTTATGGTTTCAGAAGGCTCAGTCCATAGTCTATTATCTACAAGACTGAAACATCATGGTGAAAGAATACAGCAGAGCAAAGATATTTAGTTCATGGTGGCGAGGAAGAAGTGCAGAGGAAGAGCATCACAGAAGAGGGATCCAGCGATCAGATACTTCCCCAGTAAGGAAATAAAATGCATGCATCTTCCGAAATACATCAACATGCACCTTAGAAACACAACATGGAATTGAAAGTTGCTGTCCTGCTCCCGTGGGAGCCATACTAATGGTGGTCTGTGTAGCTGTATTAACCAGCTTTCCAGATTCTGGTACAAAACACCCCATACCTGCGGCTTAAAGGAGGAAAGGTTTATTTGGCTTATGGTTTCAGAAGGCTCATGCATCTTCCGAAATACATCAACATGCACCTTAGAAACACAACATGGAATTGAAAGTTGCTGTCCTGCTCCCGTGGGAGCCATACTAATGGTGGTCTGTGTAGCTGTATTAACCAGCTTTCCAGATTCTGGTACAAAACACCCCATACCTGCGGCTTAAAGGAGGAAAGGTTTATTTGGCTTATGGTTTCAGAAGGCTCAGTCCATAGTCTATTATCTACAAGACTGAAACATCATGGTGAAAGAATACAGCAGAGCAAAGATATTTAGTTCATGATGGCGAGGAAGAAGTGCAGAGGAAGAGCATCACAGAAGAGGGGTCCAGCGATCAGATATGGACCCCAAAGTCTCACCTCCATGACCCACCCAGAAGTGTGCTTTACTAATCCCATAGGAAGCTCTCAAACCAAGTTGACAATTAGGCTTAACTGTCATATTCCATCCCTTGTTGACTTGATACCCAAATACATTTTAATCTATATTCAAGCTCCAAAGAAAGATGGTAACAATCTAGGTGTGATGGTACATGTATGTAATCCCAGAACTCTGAGAGACTGAAGCAGGAATATTACTAGTTTGAGCTCAGTCCACTTAGTGACATCTGTCTCCAAAAATAAAAAAGCTCTGGGAATATAGCTCAGGGTGAAAGTCCTGAGTTCAGGTCCCAGTGGGTGGGGGTGGTGGTGTTGGTGTCATAATTCTACCTAACATGATACAACTATCTTGCATCCAACCAAAAATGTAATAATTCCTTCTCTGAAGTCTCTATAGTTCCAGCATTGTTCAAAAGTCCAATCTCAATCAAAGTCTTCTCTGGAACTGAAGGCAAAATCTTGGCTGTAAACTCCTATAAGAATTAAAAACAAGTTACTGTACATTGAGATGTAAGGCACAGAATAAATATTTCCATTCCAAAAAGGAGGATAGTAGAGGGACAGAAAAGAATCAGACCAAAGGAAGACCAAAAGCCAGCAGGATTAATGACTGAAACATTAATGTGAGAAGCTCCATATCTGGCATCTAGGGGGCATAGTGGTAAAATATGAGTGCTAAAGGGCTTGGGTGGCCCCACCCCTCTTTGTAGCCCACATGGACTCTCTCTTGGAATGGCTAGCTCTGTTTGGTGCCTGTGGCTTTTCTCAGCAGACCTCTCATGTTCCTGGCATTTCCAATGTCCTCAGGTCTCCATTGCACATTTGGTTTTATTCCCACAGCTTCATGTACCCCTCTCAAGGGCACATTACCTGGCATTCCTTTGAAGTCTGGGTGAAAGCCTCCCTGACTCCACAACTCTTGCATTCTCTATACCTGTATAACTAGCATCATATCAATGATGCCAAGGTCTGTTGCCAGCTCAAGCAATGGACAGACCACTACCCAAGTATAACTATGGATTGAGGATTGAGCTACCTTGAGATTTACCCCACCAGATCAGTTAGTTCATCACTCTGAAAGTAGGCCTCTCTAAAAGTCTCAGGACATGAGCAAAGTTTAGATAAAATTTTTGTCAGAGTATAGCATGCATGGCTTCCAGTTCAATTCCCAATAGAATCGTCATTCCCAACTAAAGCTAAAGCCTGGCCTTTACTGTCTACATTCCTATCGGAATTTGGGTCTTCTGAGTTCTGACTAGAATTACCCATCAGGATCTGCTTATAACATTGTAGGGCTTCCCTAATCCACATCTCCAAACTTTTCTAAACTGCTACAAACCAGTTCCAAAGGCCTCTGCAACATGTGGTAAGGTGTCGTCACGGCCATGACCCCACTCCTGATACCAGTTTTCTGTATTTGTCAGCTTTCCTCTTGCTAATATAAAATACTCCATAGCTGTAACTTAATGGTGGAGAGGTTTATTTGGCTCCATGGTATTCTAGTTCTAAGGTAGAAACATTATGGCAGAAGAGTGTGGTGGAGACAGACTGCTTAGTTCATAGCAACAAGCTGATTTAAAAGGTGATTAGATCATTAGGGCTCTACCTTCACAAATAGATTCACAAGATGGAGTCAGTGATCACAAGAGCGGCTTTGACATAACAAACCTGGCCCTTGACTGTCTGCTCACTCAATCTTGTGTTTTCTTAGAGGCCTGTGTTTCCAGCCTTGAAAACTAGGAGTAATAAATCTATTTTCTGCATAATTTACTCAGCCTTGGTTCTGTTATAGCAACAGAATGTGGACCAAGATTTATTAATGAATATGCTAAAAGTGGGATGGATAAAGTACAGATGGAATAATGTCATTTCCTCAGAACTTTCTGTTGCAAGTTAAGTAAAATTCCCACTCTGTGACCTGTGGTGAAATGTCTGGCCCATCTAGCTGGGCCCCCATTTCCACCCTGCTCCTGTCCCCACTACGAGTGTTGCTTTCTACCCGCCCCCCCAAGGAACTGCACCAGTCTATACCCCTCTTATTGGCAGGGTACCTGCCTGCTCTGAGAGGCTGGAATAACAGTTCATCCTTCTGAGTTGGGGGTAACAGGTTAGTCTCTAAATTAAGGCCAAGTAATGTTCATCAAAGACTGCTTTGCCCCGAACACAATATGATGAGAATTAAATGTCTTCAGTCTCTACACTTAGGATTGTAATTGGCCAGGAGATCAGTCAGGTGGTGCCTTGGCAGGTCAGAGAAAGAGAACTCCCATGCCTCAGGCGTGTAGCCCCATTGTGCAAGAGCATCTGGTGTGCTCCATGTGGGGCTGGACACTGGGGGCTGCAAGCCCATCTCTGATCCTCAAGAAGCTTTGGTTTGGGCTGGGAGGAAAGACTTATGCCTTTGTTCACATGTGCTGACAAGAGGGCCATAGGGGAAGTGAAGTTAGTCTTGGTCTGTGACTCTTTACTCTTTTTTGGTTTAAACATTTGTTTTTCAACATTCTGATTTTGAAATCAGTATGAATAGGCTACAAGCCTCTTGGTTGGTGCCACCCACACCCAGGATGAGGTTTCCCTCTTCAATAAATCCATCCAGTTACACCCAGAGCTATTTTAATCCAATTAGGAGACTAATCCAATACCACACACCCTTAATCCATATTCATATCCCTATTCATATCCCTAGATCCTGCCACCTCCAAAAGCCCCCCCATGAGTGTATGAGGCTTTTGGAGGGACACCTAGAAAAGCCACAACAAAGAAATGCAAATTAAAGCACTAATGACATTACTTTCTTTGTCTATCAAATTGCACCCTCCCCCATACCAGAGATGGAACTCGGGTCCTTGCGCTTACAAGAAGGCGGGCAGCAGAAACACTGAGCTAAATCCCCGGCCCTCAAGTTGCATTTTTTGGACTCAAGGTTGTCATAAATTTTCCATCTTTTTTTTCGAGTTGCATTTTAATATCTTCCTGCTAGTTATGAATTATAACAGCTTTTCCCAAAAGCATTTTGGCAATATATACATAACATTTTTTTAAAGTCTACCAATTGATTTAGGAATTTGAGCTTTAGAAATTCTAAGAAATTTAAGAATCTATGGAAAGACCCATCCATAAAAATGGTTAATGTTACATTGTTATAATAGTGATGAATCAAAAGCAACCTTTTCATCCATTTTTAGAAAATTATTTAAATAAATTGCAGCTCATCCATTCCAAGGGACCCTAAGCAGTTATTAAAAATGATATTGTAGGTCAGGGGTTGCCTGGTTTGGGAATAAACTCTTATGGATACCCAAGCAAGTTCATTTTTCTTTGTTTTGTTTTGGTTAGGTTTAGTTTTTTGAGAGAGGGTCTCACTATGTAGTACAGGCTGGCCTTGTACTCACTATGTATCCCAGGCTGGCCTCAGTCTCAAAGAGAATTTCCTGCCTCGGCCTCCTGAGTGCTGGGGTTATAGGTGTGTGCGACCATATCTGGCCAGCCCATTTGTGTATGCAGTGTGGGTGGCTGTCAAATTAGTTTACTAGGGAAGCTATAACAGACCACCGCATACCAAACAGTGTACATAACAGGACTGCACTGTACCCATCCTGGTTCTGGAGGCTGGAAATCCAAACTCAGGCTGTCCCGAGGGTCTGCTCTGGGCCTCTCTCCTTGGCTCAAAGAAGGCCATTTTCCCCATGGGTCCCCTTTTTTCTAAGGACACCAGTCCTATTGGGGTAGGAGCCAGCCCACTGCCATATGACCTCATCTTAACTGATTACTTTTACAACAGCTGTATTTCCAATGAAGGGTTCACATTCTGAGGTATGGGAGGTTAAGACATCAGCATATGGATTTGGGGAGGACCCATGTGCACTTGTAATGCTCTTTCTGGTGCAGCAGCAGATGCGAGCAGCTCACACCAAGATAAGTGGACTGCAGAGTCCACCATAGTTGTCATCTGGCCCTTTGCAGGAAAATTCGCTGACCCCTGCTATGGGCAAGCGTATTTCCACATGAAAAATACTCAAAATATATTCTTAAAAACACATTTATGACAAAAATGCAGTATTTTATTTATTCTACTGATGACTAATATTTGGGAACATTTGTGCTATTAGTGGAATTTAAGAAATTGAGCTTGTATTTTTTTATATCTCAGTACCAAAAAACAGGGCCAGGGGTTTAGTTCAGTGGTTCTGCCGCCTGCCTTGCAAGTGCAAGGTCCTGAGTTCAATTTCTGTTACAAAAAAAAAAAATTATGGCCAAAGATTTTTATATGAAAAACTTAAAAACAAATGCTTGGTGTTAGTATGTCTGCATAGAACTCTGGTTTGGCTGTAGAAGGGATGCTTGTCTACATTCAGTGGGAATGTTGCCTCCTGCTGAGCTGGCTTCTTGGTATTCTTTCTGCTGTTGATTTCTAGCATAATTACCTGTGATTGTGTGAATGGAGTGGAAAGAGCACATAGCATTAATTCCAAATAAGTGTACTGTCTTAATCACTTTGCATTGCTGAAACACAATGCCCAACACCAGGAAATTAAAGGAGAGGTTTATTTTGGCCTAGCAGCTTCAGTCCATGTCTGGCAGGCTTAAACACAGAAACAGCCTGGTGGAAGGGCCTGGGCAGAGGAAGGCTGCTCATGTCATGGTGGTCAGGAAGTACGGGGAGTCCAGAGAGAGAGAGAAAGAGACACCCACCCCGATGGACCCGCCTCCCCTGAGCAAGCCCCACCTCCTGACAACAAGTCAGCTCCCTCACTGCCCTGCCCATGACCCATGAGCCTTTAGGGGACATTCTCCATCGAAACCATAACAAGGACCTAAGCAGTTACAGTGGTAACAAGGCCATATGTAACACATTACCCAGTACTTTAGAAGCCAATAGGTTAAATCTAAGGACTTAGTCAAAGTTCAGGAATTAAAAGTCCAAGATGAAATAAATACTGAGTTCTCTGCCCAAGCATGAGGGGCAAGGGAGGGAAAATGGAGGAAAGGGTCAAAGGGTGAATACCCCACTCTGGTCTCCTCCCCACAAGACGCAACACCTGGTCCAGTGAGCCTCTCCAGGGGGCATCACTGGAATATTTTCTTAAACAAAAAGAACTACCAAAAAAATACCTTTTTCTGAAAATTATCTCATATGAAAAAAATTTACACATGACTAGAAAACCCCAAAGAACATGCATTGTGTTAATAGCAATGATCCTGAAACATGCTTACCGTGAGTAGTCTTTGTTTCCTTTTCTTTGCTTATGTTTTCTAGTATTTCTATTATGAATGCTACTACTTTGTAATTGTGAAACCATCATCATGTGTAAAACCCAGTCTGTACCCTGTTGCTTGCCTCACCACCTTCCTCACCACAGGGTGTGGGTGCAGCCTGGATCCGCCCAACGATGCCCTGCTTGAGGATGCCTTTACCCCTGGGCTCTGCCCTTTCCTGAGGGGACCCAGTGGGGCGGGGTGGGAGAAGGACCCTGTATTCCTCTCTGGCAGGGTCTTGGGAATTGTCCCTGGACACCGAGCCTAAGAAGGAGCCTTTCCAGCTGTTTTACAGCTGGTGGCTGGTTGCTTCTCTTGTCTGAGACATAACCCTGGTTGACACCCAGACCCAGAGCCATGTAGAGACTAGACTGTGCTGAAGGAAAATATACATTTTATGATGTCAAATGAAAATTATTCCAAGCCATCAATATTTCAAGTGGCTTAGCATCCATTTGAGTTGCACAAGGAAGAGTAAAAATAACTGGAGCAACTCTGCCAAATCCAAAACGCAACAAAGATCTCCAAGCATAAATGTGCCAGGGTCACAGATTTCCTGACTTTTACTAAGACATGCAGATGCAATGTAGCTTAAAATGTTTTTGGAAATGGATCAACTTTTCCCCAGGAGCCTTATCTCAGTGGGTTTAGGGAGGGATGATGAGGAAGGAATGGGGATAACAGACAGACTAAACGTCCCTGTTAGTGGAATCTCAGCTCGAGAACAATTTTTCACAGGGGTAGGGCTCTGTGCTGCAGCGGACCCCTGCCCTGTCGCACGGAGGTACAGAGGGCTATTGCGGGTGAGTGGTGGCCTGGTACTCCGAGGCGTGCAGGGCTTCGGATGCCTGGCACACCTGTGCAGTCCAGGAACCCATTCACACCTTCCCCTGCTGGTGGCTCCCACTATGTCTGTTCTCCCTGGGCTTCTGGATGGAGCGCGAAGCCAGTACCTTCTGCATGAGCGTTCCTCTGAGTGCATTTAACCAGCAGACATACCAAGTGTCACTCTGGAGGGAGAGGCTGGGACACAGGTACCTGTCTTCTTGCTTTCCATATCTTCCTCTGTGTTAGGGAATTTCTTTTGTGTCACCATCTACCTCCTTCTCAAAAGCTGGAGCCCTATGTAAGACAGAGTCCAAGAAGACAAATTAATTTTCCAATGAGTGAGGTTCAAAAAGATTGTCCTTTTTTCTTTTCTTTAGTGGGGATTGAATTCGGGACCTTGTGCATGCTAAGTAACTGCTTGACCGTGAGCTACTCCCAGTCCATTGTCTTTTAGACTAGTAAAGCTGCTCACGAGGATTGCTATGGTTTGGACGAGTGTCCCAAAGACTCATGGGTAACAAGCTGGGTCCACAGCTCATGGCACTGTTGGAGAGTGGGAATCTTTAAGAGGAGGCCTAGCAGGAGGTTTCTGGTTATATAGGGGTGGCCCTTGAGGGGCATACTGGGACCCCATCCCTCCTCTTTCTCTTTTTGCTTCAGGGTTACTGTGTGGTAGGCAGCTTTCTCCCATGTACTGCCATGATGTGCTGTCTGCCACAGGCCCCAGAGCAACCAGCCATGGACTGTGACTGAAACCTCCAAAATTGTGAGGCTAAACAGCACTCCCTAAGCTGATTATCTTAGGTATATTGTTACAGGGACGAATAACTTACTAACAAGGATTTACATGGCATGTGCCAAACCTAATTGTTTTGATGCTTTTCTCCAAACTCTTATTAAGGAGGAAGGCATCAAGGAGGCCTGCGATTTAGCCCCATCCTTTGCTTTACCATGGTACCTGGTGAATGAGAGGCCTGTCAGCTGTAGAGACCTTTGCATAAGAGAGTGAAGATGTCCTCTTTTTCTTTAGAATGTCCTGGTGGGAAGGTCTGTAGTTCTCTGCCCAGTGTTTCCTGGTGAGCTTTCCTCAGTGATATCAGAGGAACCAGAGGGGAAGTATGAGCTCTTGCCTGGAGGGGATTAATGTTATCAAGAAATACGGGTTTGTAAGGCCCACGTCTTCCCCATCTCCATCCTCCCTTGATACAGTGTGCTGTGGTACAAAAGTCCGGATAATGGAAACGCTGCCATTAGAAGCTTCTACAGACAGTGTGGACATCTTACCTAAGTCAAGCAGCTCTCTCAGTTCCAGTGCACATAGCACTGGGGTGAAACTCAAACACATGGGACTTGCTAGAAGTATTTGTTGAGAATGCATAATTCCACATGGATATGTGGCACCTTGGCCTGGCCAAGCGTGTAGGGTGAGGGTGAAAGTATGCACATGGCCCTAGGCCAATGGAAGGAGGCATCTCAGAGGAAAGGCTTATTCATATATTGATTTTGAGTGGTGCTGGAGAGTAAACCTGGGACCTAGCCATGCTGGGTAAGAGTTCTACTGCTGAGCTGCTCCTCTGCCCCTGAAGAAAGGTATTTAGACTGCGATTCCACCGACTGAGACAGACGTGGCTGACAGAGCCAGGAGCAGCTACAGGAGGCTACTCCCCTCCGGGAGAAGTGGGTGGTGGTGAACTTGGATGTGCCCAGGAGAGAGAGAGGCAAGTGGGCTCATGCTGCTATGAGCAGGAGGTGGGCCGTTGCCAGTGTGCTGCCTTTTGCTGAAGAGACCAGCATGGTTGCGAGGAGATGCTTAGGAGAGGGTACAGTGAGCGTTACGGTTTGGACGGTTGGTGCCTCGGAAGGCTCATATGTGGGAAGCATGGTCCCCAGTGTGGTATCATGAAGAGGTGCTGGGGTCTTTAGAGGTGGGGCTTAGTGGGAGTTGGGTAAGTCACTGGGAAGCTGCCCTTAGAAGAAACTAAGGTAAAACTAATGAGACCCTGAGCTGGTTCTCTTGAGAGGGTTTTATAAGAGTACGAGTCTGGCTCCTCCACCTATCCTGGCTTCCCATGTCACCACCAGACCTCCCTCTTGATGGGCTCCACTGTTGTACTTCTGTCTACCATGAGCCTTCGCCAGAGCTGAATGGATGCTGGTGCTATGCTCTGGGAGCTCCAGAACTGTGAGCTAAATAAACTGTGAAGCTGGGACTGGAGAATCCTGGAAGGAGATTCTAGGACAGTAGGTTCATGTGTTACCCACCTCAGACAGGACATTTAGCAGAGTACAGCCCAGGGCAGTAGGACAGAGTGTAGGCCTTGGGACCAGCCCCACCCTGGGTTTGTGACTTGGAGTGAGCTAGTAACTTGTAAGGTGCTGGTCATAATGGTATTTACCTCAGTGGCTTTAGGAAATAATGCCCTGGATTGCCTATCTACAGCTTCAGACACCACGTGTCCACCAGTGTGAGGCCACCATGAAGCTTTCTGATATCGCTGTGGGGAGTACTGATACAGGAAACCAACTGTAAAGTGCTACCTGAATATCATTTTGATGCCAGCTTGGAAAACATAGAAGGTACAGTCTTCACCCAGAGGCATCTATAAAGCAGCAGAAGTGGATGTAGACAGAGCTGGAGATGGAAAATGTTCAAGATGGAGCCCCAGAAAAACCAGAAACAAAAGTAGACCCTCAAGAAAAAACACATGAAGGTGACCCTGATGGTAAGGGCGGGGAGGAGGTACTTTAGGAGCCCATGCCCCTGGGGAGTAGGTGGCAGTGTTACGTATATGAGACGTGGGATCACGCCCTGCTTAGCCTTCTGTCGGATGAAGTCATTGAAATGAATGTATCCTTCAGCGGACTTCATTCATGATCTCTAAGAATGATATCACTCTGCCTTGGAATAGATAATCCCAAATGCTTTTTGTTTTGTCTTTTGTGTTTTTATTTTATTTATTTACTTTTTTGTTCAGAAATCTCATTACAGTTTCCATCCAGCAATGTGGCTCTTCCGGTCCCAGAGTTCTTGAAAACAGCACAGGCCAAGGAGAAGACGGTCTTTCTCCCTGTGGTGAGCAACACACTCCACATGTCCACTGCAGAGTCTGAGTTTCCACAGAAGGGAAGTGACATTCCCAAGTTCCCAGCAAATATTGTGCATTACAAGAAAGGCAACATCTCTGGATCCTCAGCTAAAACCACACAGCCCAAGCACAGCAACACACCCAAGTCCTTGGCAAACACTACCCAGGCCAAACAGGGAAACATCCCCAAGTCCTCAGAGAAGATCATCCAGTCCAAAGAGGATGATATTCCCACATCCTCAGAGGGCGTGACTCAGCCTAAAGAGGATGACATCCTCAAGTCCTCAGAGAAAACCATCCAATTCGACCCAGGGAATGTCCTCAAGACCTCTGAGAAAACCAACCAGTTCAACCCAGGGAACATCCTCAAGTCCTCAGAGAAAACCATCCAGTTCAACCCAGGGAACATCCTCAAGATCTCCGAGAAAACCATCCAGTTCGACCCAGGGAACGTCCTCAAGACCTCCGAAAAAAACAACCAGTTCAGTCCGGGGAATATCCTCAAGTCCTCAGAGAAAAACATCCAGTTCAACCCAAAGAACTCCCTCAAGTCCTCAAAGAAAACCATCCAGCTAGAGCCAGGGAACATACTCAAGTCCTCAGAGAAAACCAACCAGTTCAATCCAGGGAACATCCTCAAGTCCTCAGAGAAAAACATCCAGTTCAGTCCGGGGTCCTCCCTCAAGTCCTCAGAGAAAACCTTCCAGTTCGACCCAGGGAACATCTTCAAATCCTCAGCAAACACCATCCTGTCCAAGAACAGTAACACAGCCAAGTCTTTGGCAAAAAATACCCAGCCCAAACAGGGAAACATTTCCAAGTCTTTAGCAAGTACAATCCAGTCCAAGGAGGGCAACATCCCCAAGTCCTCAGAGGATATCACCCAGCCCAAGGATGGTGACATCCTTAAGTCCTCAGAGGAGACCACCCAGCCCAGAGAGGGTGACATCCCCAAGTCCTCAGAAGAGACCACCCAGCCCGAGGAAGATGCTATTTTAGGGGTCAAAAAAGAAGCAGTGGAGTCCCTTGAGCAGGATGTAGTGAAGGTGATCATGGGCAAGGAGGACTTGGAGAGAGCACTCAGGGAGGCTGGGGAGAGGCTGGTGGTTGTGGACTTCTCGGCCACATGGTGTGGGCCCTGCAGGAGCATCTGGCCGCTTTTCCATTTCCTGTCTCTGAAGCACAGCGACGTCATGTTCCTAGAAGTGGATGCTGATGACTGTGAGGAGCTGGTGAAAGACTGTGAGGTGGTTTGTCTCCCAACCTTTCACTTTTATAAAAAAGAAGAAAAGGTGGGTGAGCTTTGTGGTGCCCATAATGAAAAACTCGAAGCAAAAATTACAGAATTAAAGTAACCATATATTCTGAGAACATTGGAAACCACAGGTGACAGCTTATGTTTTTTTCTTAATTTGCAAAAAGGAACAGGTATAACAAATTATGTCTAAATGACATAGCTTGTAAATTTTGAGTGTGAAGACTTTGAAAGCACAAGACATTAGAACACATTGTGACCATGATTCTACTCATAGGAGAGAGGGATTGGAAGCTCCTTGGTGGAGATCAGAAGTCTTCCTTTCCATCTTGTTTTTTCCATTGCCTTTGAAAATTCTGCTCATTAAGTGTTTGCAGCAACAATGGACATTTAGAAAATTCATCTGTAGCTGTATATGGCTAACAACAAGTGGAAAATTCTTTCACCGTGCACGCATATCTTTGGGGGCTCAGAGTAGATTCTTCTGGACAGCGAGTGGAAGTCACATCTTAGCTCACGTCCTCCTCGTGCAGGGAGTGCTAGGAGGTGCCTGCAGACTGAGGCTCTGTTCTCGGTCTTCAGGTCCAGGCTCTTTGCTCTGGCCACACTCACCAAATACAGGGCAGTGCTCAGCACTTTGGGTCCTCAGAGGCTTAAGTCCTTGTGATCCTCGGTCCCTTCTGACGTCAGCACTGTGGTGGCAAAGTTTGTGCTTAACTTGGTTCCTAATTCCTAGCCCCAGATCTCCCTGAACCTGGAGGCCCAGGTGTGGCCCACAGGTGGCAGCTTGGTCCAAGGGGTTGCTATCTACTTAACAGCTTTGCTGAGGTCTGTATGCCAAGAACCCACACGCTTCATATGGGCAGCGGGTGAGTTTGGCTAAGCACACACACCAGTGGTCCCATGGCCTCCAGGAGCTGCCTTGTGCCCTCTGCTTTTCTTATAACTCGAAGAACACTGCTCTGGTTACCAAGAGATCTTTAATGCATTTTAAGTGGCCAATACCATATTGCTAACCCCAGGCACTGTGTCACACAGCTGACTTCTAGGACCCAGGCACTGTGTAGAGCTGAAAACTTGTACCTTGTATTGAACAGTTATTCTTGTTTCCCCCTTGCCCCACTAAGCAGCCACTATTCTATTTTCTATTGACTCAGAATGCTTTTTAAAAATATGGATTTGTTGTCAATATTTTAAAAACCACGATTTCCTTTAAAGTCTAGATTTCCAGGTTTTCTTGAAAAATGGTGAGGTCTGGCAACCCGAGATTTGCATTATTTCAAGAAACAAATCTCATCCTGGGGGTGAGTGGTGGCTTCCTCGCTCTGGTCCACCACAGAACCTGGCAGGCTTCATTCGTCTGGTGGAGGCCGTGGGGCAGCCCCTGGGCGGGCCAGAGCGGGGCTATAGTCACCCTGCACCCTGTCCCTGGGTGGGTGCTCCACGGGCACCTCAGGCAGCAGCTCGCTTTGCACCGTTATCAGCAGCCTCCTACAGCCGGCAGATCCGTGGTACATAGACTTGGCCTTGTCCAAAACAGATCTGGAATGGCCTCCAGAAAATACTGCTGATGAGGCTACAGAATGAGGGGAAATCAGAACCCATGGGCTCTTCGGGCCTGTGTAATTGCTCTGATTGAGTGCCATGCTTTCTTTTTGAGCTTCTTCATGGTTGGGAGAGGAAAGGGGACCTCACTAACCCCCATATCTCCTTGTCCAAAATGAACAAGTTTCGTAATGTGAAAAAGGAGCCAGAGCTTCCCTTTGGTTCTGAATGAACTTTCTCACGTGGGACCTTAACTCTGAGACACTGAACAGCAGATGACGTCCTGGGTGAGATTTTCTTCCTCCCTCCCTCCCTCCCTTCCTTCCTTCCTTTCTCCCTCTCCCTTCCTCCCACCCTTCCTCTCTTCTCTTCTCCTCTCCTCTTTCCCTTTCTTTCTTCCTCCCTTTCTCTCTCTGTCTCTTTCTACCTCTTCGTGCAGTACTAGGGATTGAGCCACGAGCCTTCACACTGAGCTGCATCTCCATTTCTTTTCCTTTAATTTAAAAAAAAATATTAAGATAGGGTCTCACTCACTAAGCCACTGAATTGCCTGAGCTGGTCTTGAACTGGCAATCCTCTTGCCCAGCTTCCCAGAGTACTGGGATCATAGGTGTGCACCACCATGCCCGGCCTTTAGTGAGACTTTTAAAATAATAAATTCAGAACAGTTTCATATGGCTATTTCTGGTAATAGTCTTCAGTAAAACCCAACCTATAACGGCAAAGCATTTTTCAGTGAGCAGATTCCAGAGTCAAGCATGCACCTTCTGCATTTGCCTTTTTCTGATGTATGCCTGTGTCCCTTCTGTTCTTCTCCTGTGGAGGGCGCATCCTCAGACCTTGTCACTCCTTTCCCCTTGAACAAGGCTGGCTCGATCCTGACTGTATCAGTTTAAACGCAGGCATCCAGACTTCCATGAAGCCAGCCAACCCTAGTGCTGCCAGATTCCTGGCTGGACCGCTGAGCGAGCCCCACAACACTCGTTTGAAGGGCCAGTGCTCCTGAACTCCAGTGTTAGTGAGTTAGATAAGTTGTTTCTTCCAGGAAGGTAGTACCAAGACATTTGTGACAATAGTCTATAGTATTTAAATTACTAAGTGATGTTAGAGACAGTGACCTCAGGAAATCCTGAACGATGACTGACAGTAGATTGTTAAAGTTATTTCAGAATATTCCTAATGTAAGTCAAGGGAGGCAGGCAGAGCACAGCTCTAACAAGGCAGTCAGGGTCACAGTGATACAAGCAGGTGTGGGCATGGCCTCTGATGCTGTCTTGTAGTCAGGGATGAAACCAAAGTGGCGATTTGTGCCCTGCAGACTCTGTGCTGTGAGCGCTGTTGCTCTTGATCCCAGCTGAGCAGTAGCCCAGCCAGAGGTGTGTTCTCTGCTAGAGACCCCGAGTGTGGACATTTTATTTTGCATCATGAGAGTCATGAACTTACGAGAAAACTAAGCAAGCAATTGTTTTTACCTCATGTATTTAACATGAAGGAGAAATGAGGCTCTTTAAAGAGAAGGAAGATTACAGATGACCACATAGGCTGTCAGTGATGATCTAACCAGAGCCTCAGAAACCCTGTGAGGATGAACATGGAAACTCAACAAAGTGGCAGTAGTAGACAAATATCCTCAGATCAATAGCTTTCATATGATTCTGTGGTCAATAATTAGGGTCAACATGGAAAAGGAGTCATTCGCAACGGTGATGAGACAACACGTCTAGCAACAGGCCCTTGAGAAGTTAAACACAAAGTAAGCTTGAATAAAGTGAACTCCACTTTCCTTGGTGGAGAGGAAGATTGAAAGATGCAGATTCTTTCTACTTAATTAGTATACAGTGGAGTTCCGACCAATGTCTCCATGGACATTTGGGAGTACCTGAAAAAAATCCTTACACATTCACTGAGCGTATTAGGCCAGAATATGTAGGAAAATGAGAAGGAATGAAGAGACATTTGTCCTATCTGCTGCTTTAAAATATAATTGGTACAACATTGGTAAGGCAGTGGTATTAGTAATGGAAAAAAGAGCAATGAAACATAATATCCGAGAATCAGACCCTGGTATCTAAGTAATAATATGTGAAAAAAGGAAACATTTCAATTTAAAGGAAGATGAGTAGATTTTTTTCTCAAAAAATCATATGGTGAAATTTTGTTATTTGAGGGGGAAAATCAGTCTGTTCCATTCTTATGCCAGAAGCAAAATAAATATGTTGGATTAAAGAATATTCAATCATTAAAAACCAGAAAAATGTAATTAAATATTTATCTGATTCCTGTGTGGAGAAAGGATTTTCTACACACAAAAGCAATTAAAGAAATAAATTTGAACATAAACTTTTCCATGAAAATATATCAATAAAATTAACAGGAAACAAAAAATGGAAATAATATCTATAGATTTACTATAAAAATACTCTTACAAAGCAGGCACAGTGGCATGTTCCTAGAGTCCCAGAATTTGGGGAGGCTGAGGCGCTAGGGCGAGTTCAAGTCCCATCTGGGCAACTAGGAGAGACCTTGGAAAAATGTAATACTCCCATAGGAAGATAGGCAAAACATGGTCCATCCTATTAAGGTAAGGACAAATTGGTAATAAACACCAACAACTTTCACTAATTGTTTTGGAATAAACAGGGAGATGCAACAAAAGCCAGCCAGATTTGAATCGTAGGACATCAGTAGTCGGCAGGAAAGCAGTTGTTCCTCCGCGGCTGATGACAGCTGAGAGTGCTGCAACCCCAGGGCCGTGCAAAGGAGCCACACCCAGCCCTGCGCATTTCGGCCTGAGTCCATCTGCTCCGCCACATTACGCATACCACAAGAATGGGCGTGGATTTCTCACCACTCAAGAGCCTGGACGTCAACGTCAAGGTGACTGTGTGGTTGGTTTCCGGGGAGGCCTTGCCCCTCCGCTGCTGGGTGACTGCCTTCCTGTTGCATTGTCCCCACACGGTCATTCCCGTGCCTGTTCATTCCTGGGGTCAGTGTGCCTGGACCTCCTCTTACGAGGACACTGGTCAGTTGGAGTGGGGTCAATCCTAGCAGCCCTCTTTAGCTTCATCACCTTTTCAGAGGCCCTGCTCAAGTACATTCTGAAGTGCTGGGGATGAGGATTTTGGGATGCACAATTTAGCCCACTTCTGCTTCAGATGAGGCTCAGAGGCTCGAGCAGCAGAGTCCTTTGGGGCGTGTGACCTAGAGAATCATCCCTAAGTAAGGCACGGGATCCCCAGCTGCATGTGCTGATGCTGCATTTCTGAGAAGGTGGGGGACACCCTACAAAACTGCTTCTCACCACTGTGGGTTCATCCCCACAGCTGAGAATGGGACTCCTGCAAAGACCAGGAACAGATGGCCCCAGAGTGGTCCGTGGCCTCCCCGAGCATAGCCCCTGCAGTGTGGGTCCCCACTGGGTCCAGTGGCAGCAAGGACCCGGGGATGTGTCTCCAAGTGAATCTTCTGTCCTTCGAGGAATGTGGTGCTCATGAGTCGGTCCCCGAGCTCAGCTACTCCAGGCCACGGCATTTCTTTGATTTCCTATCGCTCTGCTGGGTAAGGACGTGAGGCCTGTTGATTTCTATGTGCTGCTCACCTCAGGAGAGGCTGGACACACTGAGCCCGGGATTATATAAATCAGGGTCTTCAAACTTATAAACCCAGAAATCACACATGCCTGTTGAGACTTCTGGTTTTAGGCTTCTGGACTGGAAACACTGGATCAGTAGTTGTGGGCAGGGACTAAGGACTCTTCCCATGGTCCAGGGGAAAATCATACCACAAGTGAGCCTGCCCAAGGCCCCTCCTGTCCTGTGCACCCTGCCATTCCTCCCAGCCCTTCCTCGGGTCTCCGGAACTCACAGCCCTGGCCTACAAGGGCTGTCTTAATCCAGCAGAAGAAAGTTTGGTCACTGAAGGGGATATTGGAGCCTGGCTTCTCTTTGCCCCACCATGAGGTGAGCAGGTCTCTCTGCTGTGTGCTCCGCCATGACGGGAAGTGCCACCACTGACCCCAAAGCAATGGCCAAGAGACCTTGAGCCAAACCTCTGAAATCGTGAGCTGAGATAGACCCTTCCTCTTTAAAGGTCTGTTGTCAAGGTGTTTTAAAAGCTGACTGACACACCTGGCATTGGTCACTTAGCAGCCTTTCCTTTAGTCTCGTGACTGAGTTTGGAATACCATGGTCAGGAGCGGGGTGTCCCCAGCCCAGGGGCGCCGCACACCAGAGGCTGAGGTGTGACTGGGCCATTCTCCTTGGTGCTCTCTCCATGAGCGCGAACTGCAGCTATGCCCCTGTATTTTTCTCTAGCCCACAGCTTAATGTCTGAAGCATGTGTGTATGCACACACACACACGCACCCACCCACCATTGAGTCACTTCTCAGTGTCTGAGCTCCCACTTCTGTTGGGCTCTCTCCTGCAGTAACATCTCTGCAACTGCCCTGTAATCTGCAAGACCACTTCTTTCCCTGCAGTTACGACTTCACATTGTCATTGCTGGTGAGCAAGGGCCTGGTGCCCAACATGCACAGAAGCCACAACTGGCACCGGGGCCTGCAGAAAGAGCAAGCGTGGGTGTAGGCTAATTGACAGGGACAGGAGGCACATGCACATCTTCCTCCCTGGTCCGCCAGTGAGGATGGGTTTTCAGGGCTTTGGTTCTGGAAAAGCCATGGGTCTCCACTGGTTGCAGTTTTGTCTTACAGGGTTTTTACAATTTCAGTCCTAGGTTGCAATGTCACGGTCAGTGCCCTGATCTTGACTTGTTGCTCTGAGTCTGTGGTTCCATTGTTCTTGAGACTTGGTTCTGCCCACCTCAGATCATCCTTAGGTCAGACTTTAAGGTTGCCCTCAGGACACCAGGTTTATAGAATGTCTTACACAGCAGTTCAGAATGCAGAAGTTATTTGTTATATGCTGGCAGCAGGGTAAAGAGCTGAGCTCCACCCTGATTTGGGTCGATCATTGAGCCTCAGCCATTATGGGTCTGTGTCTGTGGACTGGCAGTGATCAGAGCTGGATTTGGTAATCCCCCGGAGAACTTTCACTCTTGATGACAACCTTCTTGGGACTAGCTCTCAGGAGTGGGGGGCAGAGAGAAACAGACCCAAGTTACAATCAACTTATTTACAGTGCTGAGCCCTTCTTAGTCAATGCCCAGCAGGAAGTGGGGGCTGCTGGGGGAGGGCTTGCTTTGCTGTGAGGCATGTCCTCACTGCGCCCGCTTTCTCTCAGCTTATCCCAGCCCATCCACCAGCAGTCAGAGGATGGGCTCCTGGCCCAGTCTCGGCTCCCCTGAGTTCCAGCTGGTGGTGTTCCAGGAGTAGGCGTGGCCATCGGTTGGCTTGAAGGCCCTCCCCTCCCCTGCAATGTTTACAGGAGTGGGTGGCAGCCTGGAAAGGAGTGGCCTATTGGGCAAAATTCACCAAGAAGTGAAAAAAGGAAAAGACACATGAAAATGCTAAACACAACAGTGTCTGTTTTATATACATTGGACAGAAGGCGCGCAGAGTTATCACTGGCTATTTCTGTGCACAGATATTTTTTCTTCAGCTTTGATGTTTTTTTTCTGCTTGTTTATGTAATGAAAGAAAAAAAATGACACCTGTTTAGATACAGCTGAGGACACCAACAGCTGCTGGAAGAGTCTACACAGGAGGACTGAGGCCAGGGCGAGGGAGCCCAAGGCCAAGGGTGTTGAGCTGCAGATGCTGACCTTAGCCAGAGGCTCTGGGTTGAGTGTGTACTCGGCTTTAGGGCACAAGTGGGCTAAGGATACAAACACATCAGTACATGCTCTTCTGTTTGGAAATGAGCTGCTGTGATCTGGATTGCCAGGGTCGGAAACCCAACTCAGACCTACTCCAGCAAAGTTGGAGAGTGTATCAAGCCCGGAAACTGGAAGTCTGAAGGGGAGGGACTGATTCACATGGATACAGAGACTCAAACACCATCGGGACACAGATGTTCCTCCCCTCAGCTCAACTGTTGGTCTGGATTTTACCATCAGTTGCGTCTGTGGCTCACAATCATAGATGAAAAGGGAGCCTGTTTCCAAAACCCAGAAGGAAAGTCCAAGGAGAGACTGTGATCGTCTGGGTCAGGTGTCCTCCTTGAACCCTTGTGCCCTGGGAAGAGTTGGAGGAGAGGGTTGGTCAGGCTCGGTCACTCGCGCATGCCCAGAGCAGGGTCAGGGCCATCAAAGTGCCAGTGCTGATCCGGGTTCCTGTGGGAAGTAGGGGCAGGAAGAGCTGCCCTGATCACACAGATCGATTGCAGGAGAGAACATGGAGCACCACTGTGTGGACTTAGACGCTGTCCTAAGAATGTGGTCAGAGCATGGCATCCATTTAGCAATCCTCATGGGAAGCCAAACCCACTAGGGGTCTGTGTATTCATCACGTTCCTTTTAAACACACCTCACTTCACTTTGACCCATTCTAATTTCCTTGCATCTGTAAATACACCACCTTAGAACTAAATAATTCTATGTTCACATGACAAATGACCTCATGATAACTAGTGGCTTTCATTGAAATGGGCGCACAGGGCCAGGTGTGGTGGTAGATGTTGCTAATCCCAGCACTCTGGGAGGCTGAGGCAGAAGAATCTCAAATTGGAGCCCTGCCTGGGAGACAGCTACTTAGTAAGATCTTATCTCAAAATAAAAAAACTAAAACTGACGGGGTTATAGCTCAGTGCAAAGGCCTTGGGTTCATTCCTTTGTACTGAAAAAAAGTTGGCATACGAGAAGTGAATCAGAAAATATTATGAAGCATTCTATTTCTCAGTGTTGTTATAATGGAGCACCTGGCCTGACAAGGGCTATTTTATTTTATTTACTTATTCTTTTTATGGTACGGAGGATCTAACTCAGGTCCTTGCTATTTTGAGGCAGGTGGTGGAACCCCTGAGCTAAATCCCAGCCCTTGTACTGCTTTATAAACAAAGAAGCTTATTTAGCCCTCAGTTTTTGAGGCTGAAAGTCACAGCATGATGTCATATTTGTTCAGGCTCTAGAGCTTTACGGTGGAGTGGCCTGAGCACCAAGGCTGGCCTGCTTTGAATAACCTGCTCCTCAGAGAAGGAACTCACTGCACAGGAGCAGCCTGAATCCCTCCCAAGCCCTACCCACCGAAGACCGAGGCTCTTCCCCCAGGACCTGTCTCATGCGGTTCTGGTGTGGGGGAAGAGATGCCAGTCCCAAACCTGCTTCGTGTTCTCTAAAATCAAAAATGAATTCTAGGAACAATGGAGGTTAAAAGAAGGGAGAATTTATTGAGAGAAAGATAGTTTCTAAGAGAGAAAGGGGACTGGACAATGAGTTACTCATTCACCCAACTTCTCAAAGGTGTTTTATGGGACAAAACCATACTGTGAGGCAGGTTCAAGATGGGACAAAACTATAGTCAACTAGTAAGATTACAAGTACTGTCGCTTAGGTAATATCGATTAATGGGGGTCCAATGGGGAAGCAAGTCTCGCAGCAGGCGTTCAAGTAACAGAGCAAGGTTTTGGGTGAGGTGTGGGTCAAGGATCTTCCCTGGAAGATCCTGGTCCCCCTCCCAGGTGATTGATACCTCTTTAGAATATCAGTCACTGATATTTATCCTACATGGGTGTGGCAGTTTCTCCTCTTATAACACTGGCCTTCAGTGAGCGTGTCTTGATTGTCCTCCATGTTGGCTTCTCGAGGGCTGGCCCTGTCTGACTGCCTACCAGACATCTAGTTAACTTACCTATTCTACAGTAGTTCTGCTGTCTCCACATCCACCGCACCGGAGCCCAGGCTGATGGATTGCAAGCCTTTCAGGGATGCACTCACACTGATCCAGACCACAGTGGGCACCTGCAAGAAGGGGGTGCTGGGAAACACACTGAACAGCAGGACGCAGTGCTGGCACCTGCTCCCCTAAACAAGGCTTTCAAAACTTGCTGTTCTCCACACACAATGTAATAGATTCTACTTAAACTGCTTATCCACCGTTCAATACCTCTGTCTTTTTGAGGTATAAATGGCTATTTCAAATAAAGTATATTCAGCAAACACTTGGAAGTTATGATATATAGTGCTGCTTAGAATTCTGTGATTTTTGGTACATCTTTTTAGTTTCTCAGGACTTGAAAGGGAGTTGCCTATAGTGCATTCTAGCAAAAATTAACTAAGAAGCAAAGTAAACCAAAAGGTACAAGGAGAAGTTAGGACCCAGAGTTTGAAATAATAATGGGACTTTAACCAGGAGATCCTTTAACATGGTGAAAATAGACACCTAGTGTAACATCTTGGATGTAGACACACAGGTAACTCCCAAGGCTGTAGCTTAAAGGTTTGGGAAAATCAAGATGATCAACTTTCAGAACAAAAAAAGGATGATTTATCTGAAAATCAAATCATTGATCACAGAAAATGATAAATGCCAAGACATCACAGTGGTAATGACAGGCAGGGACTGAAATGGAGAAAGGTGAATTCTTACCTGTTGGCAAAAAGCCCACAGGCTGAGGGGCACTGTTCAGGTAAGATGGTCATTTGGGGGGAAAGCAGGCTTGGTGAGGGGTGCATGGGGGGAGCAGCCTGGCTTTCCGGTATCGGGTTTGCAAGCCTCTTGCTTCCCTGGAACTCCCAGCCTCTGCCTCTGGAAGGGCCTTCCGGAAGTCTCCAGAAAGGTGGAAAAGAGCTGCTGCACTCTGCCCTGCCGCAACAGCCACAAAGCCTTGGTGTGTTTGAAAGGCAGAGCTAAGTGCGAGGGAGCCTAATGCTCAGATGGATCGATACCTTTCACGACCTTAGGAAGATGGAGGAGGAGGCCACCAGTTAGCTAGTGATTCTGCCTTTAGAAATCACAGGTGAGGCTGTCCAGCTCTGAGTAATGGGAATTTAAGCAGCTTCTTGGTGCAGCAATTTAACAGCAATTAGTTTTGATGACCTCCCCAGTTCTTTTGCCGAATTAATTTGATCTTCTCTTGTGAGTTTGAAATTACACTGAGATAAAGGTCTCTCCCTCCCCCCTTCCCTCCCTCCCTCCCTCTGTCTTTCCTTCCGCCTGTCTTTCTTTCTCTCTCATTCTTAAAATGTTAACTTTAATTATGAATTAAAAGAACCAGCTGAGATTAGGAAATATAGGCAGGACTTTATTAGCGTTTAATTGGTCCCAAATACAATCCTACTTGTGACCTAGGCACTTAAAAGTAAAGTGCTTTATATATAATCTGTGCCTGTATATATTTTTGTTGAACTAGTGAAAATAAAGATGATTACTTTCAAATAATCTTTGTCTTAGCATTTGAGATTTTTTTTTCTTTTTATTGAGTTTATTGGTACAATCTAGGTATACAATACAGTTACATTCATCATTGGGATCCTGTACCTTTACATAATAGGTCTTGATTGAGATTTTTTTTTTTAAAGTTGTTTATAAATCCAAGTTATAACCCTGATCTATTTTGGGTTACGTTTTTCTGTGCTGTACGTATGTCTGGCATCAGACGTAAAAATGGCAAAATAATGTTGGGAGTTGTACAGGTTGGATATAGTTGTCGTCATTCATCCTCCCTCGGGCCCAGCCAGGGTCTTTATTCTTTCCTTACGTGCCTAAAAAGCAGACTGGGGTTTATGTGGCTCAGATTCTGTCCACGTTTATCATTGACGCTCAGGTTGAAGGCAGAAAGAGAAGGACATGTCAGGAAACCTGACGCTGGAGGGGTGCGTCATGGTCACAACTTGCAGATGAACTGCTCAGAATGCAGGGCTCAGAGGCTGGCTATCTTCCAGGAAAACCGAAACTAAAACCTCTGTTTCGAGTTAAGTTTGATTGTTAGGACACTCCTATACTTTATTGACCTGCGTGCACGTGAGATATGAGATCCCTGTTTGCCCCCGGTGGAGATCAGATGCCGCCCAGCAGTTCAAGAGAAACCTATCTTCACCGGGAGGAGCAGGGCGCCGGCTGGGAGCAGAGGCCCCTGTGGTCCGGTGCCAGAGGGGGCCAGTGAGCTGAGGGTGAAGCGCTGGGGAGACCCGTGAGACCAGGAGGGGGCTGCTGGGTGTTGACAGGAGGGTGTAGCAGTCAGAATCTGATTGGTGGCTGTGGAGATGAGGCCTCGGCTGAGATGAGGCCACGGCGGAGATGAGGCCATTGGGTGTTGACAGGAGGGTGTAGCAGTCAGAATCTGATTGGTGGCTGTGGAGATGAGGCCTCGGCGGAGATGAGGCCACGGCGGAGATGACGGCACCGGGACAGCTAGGGCGAGCAGGCTGAGGGAGGTGCGGAGTTGGGCACGTGACCAGGGCTCTGGTGGTCCAGCTGTTGTTCACCCACGGTGCTGGCTCAGCTCTGCCTCCCCATGGCAGGCATGGAAGGCAGCGAGCAGGTCCAGAGCTGTGAAAAAATAAGTCTTTGTTATCTTGAGCCATACCTAGCTTGTGGCAATTTGTTACACAGCCATGAGGAAACTGACACACTGTAGAATAAAATATTTTAGTAAAAGGTACACGAGCACAACTTAGCAGTGGCGGGGCAATGTTAGGATGTGCACAAGGAAAAGCATTGCTAGTGAGTTTTCTTTCATGGTCTAAGAAAATGCCCAATTATGAGAATTCTGCACAATTATGAGAAGACTAGTTGCACAAATATTTTATTTTCATTCATCATAGGTTCAGGGAGTATGGAAATGTTGGTTATTTTTTTCATTTTGTATACATCATTGCATCAAAAGCACAGTTCTTGAGCACTTTTCTGTATTTCTCTTTCTTTTCTTTTCTTTTTTCTTTTATTTTGTGTGTGTGATACTGTGGGTTGAACCCAGAGCCTTCTTACTGAGCTATATCCTCAGCCCTTTTTCTCTTCTGTGTTTTGAGATTGGATCTCCCTAAGTTGCCCAGGCTGGACTTGAATTTGCAATCGTCCTGGCTCAGCTTCCCAGAGTGCTGGGATTACAGAGGTGTCTCACTGTGCTCGGCTCTGTACTTCTCTTTTTTTAGCTCCTACCCCAGCTTTCTGAAGAGAGAGGATAGTCAGCATCGTAGGATAAGGCTGTAAGATGGCCTGTGTGTACTGATGAACGGAAACAGCATAAGGAAAATAAGAGCTTGCCAGGCGGTGCTTGAGCAGACGGTATTCCTGAGGATTCCAGGGAGAGGTGACCTGTAGTGGCACCTGGATAAGGAAAGGGTGTGTGGGAATGGAGGAGGCAGAGGTACTACTCCAATAAAGTTAGATCCTGGGCCCAAGCCAGTTTTCACATTCAGAGCTCACTGACTAAGCAATGCCAAGTTCCCAGAAGGGAGGACACAGCAACGCTGTAGCAAGTAAGGACAGAGGTGATTGCCCCAGGATTTGCCTGAGGGGCCCATTTGGGTTTCCACCCACAGGGGAAATGGAACCCTAGGACTTTTCAAGGAGCATTGGACACAGGAACTCAGCACGGATGCCTGTAGATCTGAAATGTCATTGGTATGGCCCCCACCCCCACCTTAGGCTCTGGGAAAATTTCTATGATTTGTGTGCTTGCAGTCACATGTAGCCACATGTCCTCCTGTAGCCAAATGTCCTCCTAGCAATCATAGTCTTGGATCCTGAGTGACACCCTCTTTGGCCCCTTGGCCTGTGGGGTAAGTAGGTGCTGCCATTGTAGGAGCCTCTAAACTGCCTCCGCTCTGGGTGAACACAATAAGTCAAAGCAATAGTGATCGCTGAGATGTGGGCCTCCAGGAAAGCCCAGAGGACACAGGGTGAGGGTCCTCCCATCACGCCTGTCTGGTTAGACAGCCTGACACCAGTTCACTGGATGGCAGAGTCTCACGCTCAAACTGCAGCCCCACCGCAGCTGCTGAACAGACACG